ATGCCGAGTCAGGTCCACAGACACCCTCACGCGCCCAGCTTTCTTTATTCTGGGGGAAAAACCTGTGTGCCCTGTGCCAGACCCCTTGCTAGGCCCTGAGCATGAAAGATAATTCTCGTTCTGGCTTCCGGTATCATAATCCAAATGGAAGGGAAAGATCTAAAACAGGACACGTCCCCTAGAGACCCAAGACCTTCATGCCATGGTCCAGGGGTGATTGTCCAAACCCTGGCGGCTTCCTTGGGGAGGGGAGATTTTAATTGGGATTTGAAGGATGGTGCCACCTCCCTCAGGAGGATGCTGGAGGAGGCCCTCCTGGCCGGCCCGCCCGGAGTGTAAACGCAAAGAAAGGTACATGGTGAAGGGAGTTCAGCTCAGGGGGCCCAAGGAGGTTGGGGCAGGTTGGGGAGCCCACGCAAGGTCAGGCTGCAGGTCCAAGTTTGATTTTTACTAGCAGGGCAATCCTTGACGATTTGTTAGCAGGGTGTAATATGATGCAGAATGTTTTCTAAGGATATTCCATAGAAAACATCGAAGACTCCGAGAGATGCTTTCAAAATTAGAATCCCTTGAATTTAGTCACAGGTGTGTGTGTGTGTGTGTGTGTGTGTGTGTATGGGAGGGAGAGAGAGATCCAGGGAGGGAGGAGAGGCGAGAGGGCGAACACGGGACTCTGAGTGCCCAGGTGGGCCACCAGGGAGAGTGACAGGTGCTGAGCAAAGCGGCTGCTTTGGAGGGTCTGGCGCGGGTGGGAAGAGAAGACGGAGCAGTGGGAGGGAGCTGAACCACCGTTATTTTGGGGTACTTGAGCAATTCACTGGGTGTCATGGGAATGAGGAAAACTATCTTTTGTTTTTCAAGTTTGGATGGAGACATGTCAACTGACGTATTTGTAGGCTAAAAAGAAGGAGCCAGTGAGGAGGGCAAGAGTGAGGAGGAGAGGTGTGTGGTGGGGTGGAGCCCTTTGAGGGGAGCTGGGAGGGGGACTCGGAGGGTGTGTGCCGAGGGCAGCAGAGGTCTGGGGAGGGAGGGCAGCTGTGAGCCAGGAGGGAGGAAGGGAGGCCATGGGGAGGAGAGAGAAGAAAGCTAGGTCCAGACTCACCCAGTGTTGTGTAAAGAGAGGAAGGGGAGAGACTGGTCTTCCTGGATGACTTCCTCATCAAGTTTTACAGAAACGATGCCTACCCAATTCAAGGAGGGAGTCGGTGCAGAAAAGCTCATCAGGAAGCCAGTTGTTCCGCCCTCCTCTCTCCTGGCATCTTGCCCACTGGCAGCTGGTTTCCCCCGATATTTACTTCCCTCTTGCTAAATTGTTTTATCAACTTGAGGCATTCGACGCTAACTTTCTCATCTCTTCCCCTCTCTCTTTCTGATATAGTCGGATATTGTGCTCATAAGGGCCTACATGTCATTCTCTGGATAGGTGGCTGTTCTCTGAATTAAGAGTAGTTTGTTGCATTATTATTTGCTTAAATTATTTGCATGTTGGGGTTACTTCCTGCCCCCGCCAGCCTCTGGATATCACTTCCTCCATCCGAGAACAAGAGGACCTTGGGACGCCTGGTTCTTTTCTTTGTCAGTTGGCAGCCCGCTTCCCTGCCACCCCCCCAACCCCTGGATTCTGGGGTTATGGGCCATGTTTCCTCCCCTAGGTTTTCTACACCACTTTCACTCAGAATCGCCTTAGAACGTCCTCGAACCTCTCTCAGCCCGGCGAGGGCCCTTCCTGTGCTCGGCGTCTCATTTCCAGTGGCGTGGAAAGAAGGGGTCCTGGGAGATCGTTGTTGCTTGTTTTAAACGTCTGAAAACATCTGACAATGATTGTGTTCTACGCTATTCATTGAGGAATATCTTGGCAGGGTCGTAGAGAATTCAAGGTTTCCAATAGCAATGCCTGGACATTTGAAGGTATTTTTCTCTTTCTTGCTTCTCTCTTGTTTTCTACTTTTCAATATTATTGCTGGGAAGCTTGATGGTGTGGTTCTGACTGGAAGCAACTTAATCTCACTCACACACACACACACACACACACACACACGCACACACACACGAACCTTGTAAGTCTTCTGTTCCTTCTCAGTGTTCAGAACATGGCTTTGTATGGGTTTTTCATTTTCTTTTTCTTCCTTTCTGGGAAGACACACGCTCACGTTATCTAGGTACGTACACACCTGTGTGTTTTTATAATTCTTATTCTACCCCCTCCCTGTGAGTCCTGCACCCCAGTTTGCTCTTCTGATCTCCTTCTCTGGAAGATTCTGAGTTTCTTCTGGCTGTCCTCACTGAAGAGCCCCGGCAGCGGAGGGAGAGACCTGGTGAACGCTACAAGAAGAAAATGCGGTTCTGCTTTTGGTGTCAAGAAAGGGGCTGGCCCCCAGCCACCAGTTCTCTTGAAGCTGGCGATTCTGGAGGGGCCTGTTCGGCAGCTCACTGCCATTGACTCCAGGCGGACTCACAGGGACCCTGGAGAGTAAGGCAGCACTGCCGCTGTGGGGTCCGGCACCACCACTCTCTCTGGGAGTGGTGAACCTCATTTTTCTCCCACCGCAGGGCTGATGGTTTCAAACTTCTGACGGTGTGGCTGGCCCAACAGCAACAGGCTAGTCCGTCTGCGGAGGAGAATCATGGGAACTCACCAAACCAGATTCACCCAGGTGGGGCTGGAGTGGCCGACATACAGAAGGATGAGCCAGGACCATCTCTTGTCTCCTAGACAGCTCCTGCAGGCCTTTTAATGTATGCTCCTTGATAAGTTTGGAGACAAGGCTATTGAAGGCCACGGATGTGCTGGATATCGATATTCAGCGGAACCTTATTGAGAAACCATCGAGGTACTTTTTGCACCTCCGCCCTTCATTTCGCCAAGTCCTCTGGCCTGGCTACCCTGTGTTCCTGGTTCCGATCCCACTCAAAGCTCGTGGCATGTGACGTTTCTGAAGATTCCCTGAATCATCAACATGGAGTTGGTGGTCTTCATTCTCTCCGTCAAAGCGAACGAGGGGGCAGCTCCCTGAGCCCGTGGGCATCTGAGTTCATCCTTGCTTGCCGCTTCCACTGGGCTTCTTCTAGGACATGCAATTAAAGTGATTTCCCCATTAACTGGAAAAAACTAACCCATAAAATGTACAGCCTTCGAAACCCATTTGAATCGTTTTCCACACAGTCTCACAGGGTCAGGGGACGTCCGGCTTCCAAGGTAACGGGTTTCACAGTGCTCTGCTCTGCCTCCTGGGTCTCTGTGCAGCCCTGGGGCATCCCAGCATGCAGGTGGCCATCCCGGGCCCATCCGCCGAGGCCCTGGGAGCAGCAGCGCAGCAGGAGGAGAGCCAGGAAGTGGGGAGGTTATGTAACGTGCGGCCCATCGCCTCCGCCAACAGGGGCCTCCTTTGCCATGAGGCCAGAGGAACTGGTGGGCGACTGGCTACCTTTTTGGGTCCAAGAGTCTGTGGAGGAATTGTGCTGAATAGGGGGAGAATGCACATCAGAATGTCAAATAATCATGGCGTCCACTTACGAAATGCCCTGGAGGTGGGGTGAAGCGCTGAAACTATTATCGTGGGATAATCTTTAAACCTTCAGTCAAAAACATCCCTGGAGAAGGACATCATGGCTGGTGAAGTGGAGGGTAGCTACAAAGAGGAAGGCTCCAAGTCACCCGGTGACTGCAACCAGGGCTCAGGCACAGGAATCCCGGTGAGGAGGCTGCGGGACCAGGCATCGCAGGCCGCTCTGAGTCGGAACCCACCCGATGGCACCTAATAAGGACAACTGTCGTCCTCAAAATGAACGTGGGTTAACTTAACTAGTCAAAGGGGCCTGCCTTGAGTTTCCTTAAGATCTATGAGGGGGCTTCAAAAAAACTGTGAACAAATTCCACGATCTTTTCATTCCATCTTTTAAGGCCTCCTCTGCTGAACTGGCCACAGCAAGATTAGACAGAGGGAGGCAGGGCTTAGAAAAGATACAAATGACTCCCCAACTCTAGAAATGCCACCAGTGTCAACGCAGCACAGTCACAGCTGTCTGTGGCGAAGATCGGAATATGTGATTGGCGTTCTCAGGTACAGCAAAGGAAATCCAACTTACATCAGAACACAAACGAAGAAAGACTGAGAGACAAGCCCGGCCAGTCACCTGGCTCTGCGGCAACACGGGCGGGAAGGCTTCACCTGGCGGAGCTCCCTGAAGTGACGGCCCCTTTACCTTACACGGATTTTAGGGATTTTAGGGAAGAACTCCACGGTTGGTGAAAGGGCGGCGGGTGATTCTACAGCTTGGACTCTGGGGCGCCGGTGTCTCCCTGGAGCGTGGCGGCTGGACCCTTCCTAGTTATTTTGGGATGTCTTGTGGCCTCTCAGGAAGGGCTTCCTGGAAGGTTGGTTCCAGGAACAGAGTCAGCGGAGGAAAGGGTGGCAGCTTCCTGGCTGTATCACAGCCAGCCGCCATCCCAAGAAGGTAGGGAGATGGGAATCGGGAGTTTCTCCATTGGAATTTCCCTCCGTTGCTGGCTTGGGGGACGTGGCAGGAGGAATGGGCATTACTGTCCCTGTGAGGCCCGCACCCGAGCTCCCATGGCCTGTGTCCACCGTACACCCCCCTTGGCAGCCAGTGGATGAGAGGACAGGGGCCTCTCATTTTAGACACGGGGTGAAGGTCAGCAGCGCCAGGTCCCTTGAGAGACCTCTGTGGTGTCGGTGTGCAGTGACCACAGGGAGTTTGGGGTGCGGCTGCTTGGGAAAGTGCAACCCACCGTCGGTGCAGGAAGGGAAGGGGAAATGCTGCTGCTTCTCGGGCCCCTGTGGTCTCCCAGCAGCTCCCCAGGACCTCTATCCCCCGCCCCCGCCCCCTGTGTGTTTCTTGGAGGGGCACAGCGGAGTGGTTTAGGCCATGCTGTGCTTTGTCTCACAGACCAGGGATGAGAGCCATCAAGATTACCAGGAAGGGACCTGCGACTGAGATTTTTGACCCTGTGTTTTCCTCTCTCCTTTCCACATGCCCAGCGGAGGAACCTTCTGAAGCCCCCCAGCCACCGCCCGGAGGAAGGAAGGGCCCACTGGCTCCCGAAAGGCTGCCTGAGGCGCCCACCGAGCCAGCTCACCCGAAGCTGACTCCTGCCTCGCCACCAAGGCCCAGCGCTCCGCCACCTCCTGAGGACCCAGGACAGCGCTCTGTGCTGCCCCAGCGGCCCCTGTCGCCAAGACCCTCCAAAGAGATGCTGCCCCCGCCGGCATGGCCGGGCAGGACAGGGCTGCCCCTGCTGCCCGGGGCCACGGGGGTCATCATGGAGACAGGCCAGGCTGGGCCTCCGGGCAGAATGGGCATGTCTGGCAGGGGCTTGCCCCAGGGGGTGGATGGCCAAACGGGGCAGGCGGCCATCCCCAGCTCCGAAGGCTACGCAGGGGCACCAGGTAAGCCAGTCACAGCCACAGCTGGATGCGTCTGAGCCAGGGCCACTGAGGGCCTGCTGTCCCGGCTACGGGTGTGTGGGCACAGACTGTCCACTGGTGACTGACTGCTGCTGGGGGGTGGGGGTGGGTCCAGGGTCCAGCTTTCAGGGACACAGGTTCAGAAACGTAGCTTTCCCAGGGTGCTGCGGGCCTCAGGGACAGATTCCTGCTAATTAAACCCCCAGAGACGGGCACTCCAGGGGCAGGGCCGTACGTCACACTTAGAAATCTAATTCCCGATGGGTTGGAGCAGCCCTGCCACGTGGGCAGCTCACTTGTCTTCGCAGAAGGAAGGGGCCCTTGGGAAACCCCTTGTGGCTGGGGGGCTTGTTGAGTAGCAAAGGCAGGCAGCTCATCAGAGCAGTTAAGCAGGACATTGCTGGTTCAAATCCCAGTGCAGCAGTCACCAGTTTTGTGACCTGCTTAACCTCCTTGAGGCTCCGTTTCTTCAACTACAAAATTAGGCTGATAATAATAACACCTCTCAGGGAGTTACTGTGAGAAGCACAAGAAAAGCTGAGTTCATTGTTTACCTTGGAAGTATTCCGTGAAAGTTGTGAATGTCAACATGTCAATGTGATATGGCGGTGGTGGTAATGGTGGAGGTGGTGGTGATGTGATGATTGATGGTGGTGGAGGTGGTGGTGGTGGTGGAGATGGTGATGTTGGTAATGGTGTCTGAATACATGGAGTAGGAAGAAGCACACCAGAGGGAGCACTGATTCCTTTCCCAACATATGCCACATCCCGATTGAGCCATTGTTTATTTTTTGTCACCTTACCGAGAACCCTGTGGAGTTAGTGCTAGTTCTGTTTTACAGACAAGGAAACCAATGGCTTGTTTGGGTCAGCTCATGTTCACTGTTGTCGGGAGAGGGGGTTCGCGGCAGTCCCCCTGAAGCCAACCAGGCACAGGGCTGGGTTGGCATCAGTGCTGGCCCGGTGTACCCACTGGGAGGCAGGCAGGATCCGAGCTGAGGTGACAAGAGCCTCACCTTCTTTCCTCTACTCCTCCCGGCCCCCTGAGCGCAGTGTCCCCAGCATGACCTAGGACAGAGGCTGCCTCGCCTAAGACAACAGGGTCTCTTCCTTTGGTCCATGTGCCCTGGAAGCCTGCGCTCTGTCGAGCTACTTGTCATTTCCTGTCCACTCGTTTCACAAGCACATTCAGCCTAGATGGGGAGGTGGGCCTTGGGGACAGAGAACTCCCCTGGAGGGTAAGGTGCTCATTGGTTTGTGCATGTCTCCGGGGTGGTCTTCCCTGACCTGGGCGCCCTGGCCCGAGAGCCCCACCCTCCACCTCCTCCCAGGCCCCCCCAGCTGACTTGCCCTTGGTGCCTTGCTTTGCCCGTGGCCACTTGGGCAGAGAATGACAGGACAGGGATTGGTGGGTGCAAATGTGCATGTTCCTGGGAAGACAGTTCAGCGTGGACACCGTGTGTGTGTGTGTGTGTGTGTGTGTGTGTGTGTGTGTGTGTGTACTTCTCTCTCTAGCAGTGGAGATTTCATTTGAAAACCGAGGAACACGGTGGCAAATGGGGCTCAGAGAAGGAGCTGCTGTGTAGGAATTTGATCTTCCGTTCCCATTTGTTTTTCAGGATACCCCAAGTCACCTCCATTGGCCTCCCCAGGTACGTCTGGCCAGGGCCAGGAGGGTGGTTCTTCCTGGTGTCCGCCCGCGCCAATATTTCCTCCCTTCTCCCCCTGGGTATTAGCATGAGCTGTGGAAGGGCGGGCCTGAAGCCCTGCCCTGCTCCCAGGGATAAGCCCCTGCTGCCGGCAGTGCATCAGACTCCCAAGGTGGGCTCCCTGGAGAAAGGCCGAGTCATGCCACGACTAGGAATTTCCCTCATACTTCCTCCCAGCTCACTGTAAACTTTAGCCCTGATGAGTTTCCTGGGATCCAGGTTTTATTGGCTCATTATTAAGTAAGCAGCTCCCTAAATCATTCCCATGACGTATTCCCTATTCACCACAACCCTGTAAAACACACACACACACACACACACACACAGACAGACACTATCTCACCCACAGCTCATACACACTTAGTTTTTACATACAGTCTATTGGACACAGTCTCTCTTTTACACACACACACACACACACACACACACACACACACACACACTCACCACCCTCCTGCAGGTGTCTGTCCAGTTTCCCAGACATCTCAGCTGTCCTGACTGCTGACTCAGACCAGGCGGGCCGTGTGCACTTGGGTGTGATGAGTATGTGGACCCCGGCCATTCACCGCTGTACGGTGGGGTGGAGGGAGCGCTGCCCTTGGGCACTGCCACTTAGAGACTATCTGGGACCTGGCTGACAAGCCTCCTGCCCGAGAGCCTGCGCACAGCCTCCCTCTCTCTGCTGCAGGGTTTCCGGCACCTTCTGTGGTGTCTTTTTCGGCTGGCCTCACGCAGAAGCCCTTCCCCAGTGACAGCGGCGTCGTGCTCTTTAACAAAGTGCTGGTGAACGATGGGGACGTCTATAACCCCAGTACTGGTGAGTGCTTGAAGGGAAGTGGCCCTCCCAGTCCTCCACCCAACGCCTTTTACTCCAGGGAAGCAGGTGGTCCCCAGTCTCTCTCCCCTGGCCCATGACCTGGGTGGGGGAGGTGGGGAGCATCCGCACCTTCTCTGGAGAAGATGCCTTGCTGAGCAGCTCCGGGTCCCAGCTTTGAGGTTTCAATTGTGGGGGAGTGGCCAGCCTCCACAACTAAGTGTGGGTTCAATAGGTGCAATTGTATGGTTAAAATATATAAAGATTATAATAAAATCATAGAGAATAAGAGAGATAGGAGAGAGAGTAAAATAAAGAAGTCACACACATTTCATGATAGTGTGCTCACCTCCTGGATGGCCATGATCTTACAGGCCAGGTCTGCCCACAGCGAGGGCCAAGGGCAGGAGAGTGAGGCAAGGTGGGCCGGAGAGAGCCAAAGAGAGAGAGAGATTCATTGCTAACCAAGGCTTATGTATCTTTGGGATGTGCATGCCTCCTAATTACAGGTAAAGACATAGGTCACAGGAGGGGGTTGTACAGTAGGCAATACAAGCAAGAGGAGGGGGGTATACAATGGGCATAGGCGTAACAGGAAGATGAGCTAGGGGTGTACACATGATAGGAAGGGGAGGCAAGAAGGGCAGACCCTAGACTCATGATGGCAGCCTAACCTTTGTCACCCTTGAGTGGGCTTGACCTCCCCTTCAGGGAAACAATTTACTATTACCCTTATCAGAAGGGAGTGGCCCCTACTTATTATTGTGGGATAAACAGTGGTGTCTGCTTGCTCTGGATGGCTGATAACCCTCAGGGAGAAGAATCCCTGACCTACTTCTGTTGACCTCCAAGTGTATAGTCATTTGCCACGTGTAGCAAGCAGCTAAGTTTGGCATGTACTTGGGGGGAGACAACTTGGGAGAAATCTTTCTGTTTCCCACATTCAATGAATAAATGTTTCCCAGTTCTGCAGGGCTGTAGAGTGTGTGAGTGTATGTGTGTGTATATGAGTGTGTGAGTGTATGTGTGTGAGTGCAGAAGGACGTGTTTAGTTGTGAGGTCCACACGCTGGCCCTCACTTTGCCCCTGGATTAGGTGCTCACTGGGTTAGTGTTGGTTTCTACGGTTCTGCCTAGCAAACCTCCACCTTGTCCTGCCACCTCTTCTCGCAGCTGGGCGCAAGCCTCTTCTTTTTACCCATCGGGGACTCGGGCACCTTGGGGTAGGGCAGGCGAGGGGCTGTGCCATCTGATTGTCCCGTACTTGTGTGCTTTTGATCGACGGAGCCGCCAAGCCAGCAGCTGTGGTCCCCCTGAAGGGGGGACCAGGCCTCGTGTGGGGCCACCTGCTCGGGAAGTGTCAGCTCACGGGACTTCATATTCACTCTGTAGCACCTCCACCGAGGAGGGGGTTGCCGGGCTGCCCAGGAGGAGGATGAGCATGCAGGCCTCTTCCAGCCCATTCCTCCCAGGGCTGCATGGCGAGAGTTACCCCCACCTCCCAGGGCACACGGGAATCGCAAGGGGCCTCACGTGGGGGCTGTACGAGCCTCGGTGTCAGTGTGTTCCTGGGTCTGGGGCTGAGTTTTGGAAGAACCAGAGTGGTAATGCGAAGGAGCAGAGCAGGGTTAGCAGAGGGAGCACTTTGTGAAGGGCCTTGGGGACCTTTCCCAGGAGCTATGGGCCCTTCTGAGGGCAGCCTTTGCCCGTGGCGGCGGTGATGTGCTGTTGAGTCTCTTCGTACTCCTAGCCCCTGAGAAAACAGCACAGAGGCCCAGCTGCCCTCCTCTGGCTACCCAAGGGCACAAGGGAGGAGGAGATGCCAAGATGACACACCCCAAGATCAAGTGCACCAGGTGTTTCTTTACCATTTCTGACACCAACCGGTCCTCCCCCAGCACTCTCCTTTTCTGCCGGGTTTGAGAATTGTTGGAAATGGCCACAAGGAGCGCACAGGTGGAACGCGGTTATTAGGGACGTGAACAGGTGACCGCTGTCAGGGTCAGCAAACAGCAAGGGCCTTAGCGGTTGGTTCACAGCCACACCTCTCCTCTCCTCTCCTCAGCCAGCGGCCGAGTCTGTCTAGCCCTCAGCCTGCCCGCGCGCGGTCCTGCCTCCCAGACTCAGCCTCAGCCTTGGCTGTCCGGGCCTCGGCCCCGGCCTCGGCCTGGCTCCTTTGCTCTGCCTCACGGGCTCCGTGAGCAGCCTCTGGTGCCTCTTGGCCGTGGCCTCTGCCTCAGACAGAGATGTGGGTGGGTTCCTTCTTGGTGGTGGTGGGGGGGCTCTTCTTCCTTGATGGTGCTGGGCTTTGTCTCGGCTTCTGAGAGGGCTCTTGGACACAGAGGAATGGCTTTGCTGAAGGTGTGCTTTTTGTCTTTCCCCAAAGAAACAGAGGGCGGTGACTCGGTTCACACCCTCTTGTGAGGAGGCGGCTCAGAAAACATCCCTTCATCCTGTCCTTTAGCGTAGCAGAGAATTACCTGCAATATGACGTTATAACCGTAGCCAGAGAGTCTAGTTTCTACACGCCACATAAGGGCTTCTTTGTGGACATACCAGCCACTCTGTGGCACACGCGGAAGCTGCCACATAGGTTTGCAAGGCTAATACCTTTGCTGGCAGGTCTTTCTTCTCGTTAGCACTTTTTCCTCTTGCCCAGCTGGTTCCCAGGAGACCGGCTGTGTCGCGGTGGGCATGTCTTGGCCAGGGGCTCCGGGGGAGCTGGAGGAAGGAAGACAGGGACTTCCTTGGCTGCAGGTTTTCCGTCATCACATCACCCTCAGCCCACCCAGGGCTCCCAGCGTGCAGAAGGCAGTGGGTCTGAAATCTTGTCAAACAATCATTGGAGTTTGGAAGAATGAGCCTTCGGCCCTCCAGGCTGGTTGGAGGGACGTTTAGGAACCTGCATTTTCACCAGCTCCACAGGGGTCCTGGGTAGGTCGGGACTGTCTACCACTGCTTCAGGGTTGCCGGGGCCTGGGGCCTGGTCACTGCCTGCTGCGTTGGGTGGGGGACAGCCTGTGCAGGTGACCTGAGGAAGGTGGATGGTGACCACCTTTCTACACATTCCCCTGGTGCTCTACCTCCCCAGCTGTACCCTCCCGTGGAAGCAGGTGCTCTGTACAGGAGGTTGGGAGGTGAACACGTGGGAGGCCTCGCCCCGTGCAGATACTCTCAGAGCTGAAGGCAAGGCACTCGGAGTGCTGGGCCTCCAGAAGGGCCCCAGGTGCACTGCCATCGAGTCTGCCGACTCCCCGGGCCCTGCAGGTTACCCAGACTGCAGCCCCATCCCTCTCACAGCCTGGCTCTTGGGTTTGAACCCCCGACTATGCAGCTACCAGCCCCAAGCTAGGAAGGGGGCAGGCAGGTGGCTAGCTTTTTGGGGTGGATTTTTCCTGGTGGATTGGACCCAGGGTCTTTGGGCCCCCTTTTAGTGCCTGAGCCCCTCCGTGTTTTCTTAGCTCCTGGCCAGTCATGGGTCACTTTCAGTGCCCTCTCAATGCCTGCCCCCACCCCCTGCAGAACGTGGTGCAGGCAGATTCTTCCAGCTGGGGGCCCCGCCATCTCCCCACCTCCATTTTTGCCGCCTCCTGCCCTCACGTTCCCAGGTGTGGTTGACTGGCTTTGTGACCATCAGTGACTGCATGTGTATGGCCACAAATGGCTGCTCTCTGTACACACTGACCAAAGGCAAGGGGTCTGCCCCTTCAATGCCCAGTTGGCTGGGGTTGCCTGCAGCTGCTAGGCGGCAGGTCTCTTCTGGGTGGGCTCAGGGAAGTGGAGTCTCTACCCATCCTGCCCCCTGGGCCGGCAGTTCGTGTACTCACAGGGACTGATGGTACACAGCAGTCGGGCTGAGGCCAGCGGCCGTTGGACTTTGGGGTGCTGGGTAGCCCAGAGCAAGCTAAGTGCGGGGTGAGCTGCTTTCCCCAGAACTGCCGGTGTGAGCGTGGGTCACAGCCCGGGGCTTCGTGTTGCAGCTACTGATGGACCCCGTGGCCGGCCAGAAAGAGGTCTTTGGAAGCCAGCTCTCCTCCGAGCCATGCTAGTGGGGGCTTTATTCCTGGGGCCACTGCGGAGCTGTGAGGGGCCAGCGTTCCCAGAGCCGCTGTGGTGCAAGCAAGCGTGACATGGGTGACGCTGGCTTCTGGGCTGCGCAGCGCATGTCTTGGGGCGCTGCAAGCAGGAGCTGGTCCTCCCCACGGCGAAGGCAGGCTGACCAGCTCCCTCGGTGTGCCTGGCCTTCAAGGGGGACCACTGGGCAGCCTGGGCAAGTGGCCATGGTTAGCTGGTGGTGTATCACTAACACCATTGCCTTCTCGCAGGGATCTTCACGGCCCCCTACGAAGGGCGCTACCTGATCACCGCCACCCTCACTCCCGAGAGAGACGCGTACGTGGAAGCTGTGCTGTCAGTGTCCAACGCCAGCGTGGCCCAGCTGCACACAGCAGGCTACAAGAGGGAGTTTCTGGAATACCACCGGCCCCCGGGGGCACTCCACACGTGCGGGGGCCCGGGGGCCTTCCACCTCATCGTGCACTTGAAGGCAGGTGATGGGGTCAACATCGTGGTGACTGGGGGCAGACTGGCCCAAACAGACTTTGACGAGATGTACTCCACGTTCAGTGGGGTGTTCTTGTACCCCTTCCTTTCCCACCTCTAGATGTGCTGGGGCAGAGAGCAGATCGTTGTAAAAACTTGAAGTTTAATATATTCAGTTTATGTATTTGGAGCACTGATGTAGGGTTTCCCTGTCCATCCCACCCCTCCCCTGCCGCATGGGTCAGGCCACCACACTCCACTATTTCGAGGCAGGCAGCCAGAGGCTAATACGTGGCTGAAGCAGCCACCAACTTAGGCCACTCCACCTGACCAGCAGGGCGCCTCGGGAGTGCCCTTGCCTCTCAGTAGCCCCTGCTGTCCTGGGGTTTTCCCAGGGCCACCAGTAGGAGCCTGCCCGAGAGTCCTGGGCCTAGTTCTGTGCTTGGACTCGTGGGTGCTGGGTAAGACTCTGGTAGACCAGAGGCTGGCATCCTGTTGGTGGAGCTGGGAGGAGGCTGGCGTGGTTCCCTGTGGCTGTGGGCTTCCCGGGGGCGCAGAGCCGCGGCTCCCTGTCTGTATCTCACACTGCTCCGAGTGTCAACACTGAAGGGTGGGAGTGCTACTGCCCCCGCCCTGAGGCGGCAGCTCCAGGTAGGGTTGCTGTGTGTGTCACTGCTCACATGGCCCTTCCTTCCCTGGTGGCAGGGGTGCACAGCCTGTTCCTGATGCTTGTTGGGCTCCTTAAATGACATGTACAACATGAAGTACAAAGACAGGGAGGATCAATAAAGATGGAAAACCACTCCAAGTTATTTCTCTGAAGCCTGCTGCCTTTACGGTTTGGGAGATTAAAAAACAAACTGTGGAAAGGTACTTGATTTTTCAAAAAGTGGCTTTGGAAAGTGAGCTGGAATAAGCTATTCTCACGAAGTTGGTGTTGTTCCTTGCACTTGCAGAGACTGGCCTGGTGTGCTCGGTCAGCGTGTCCTGTGGTCCTGTGGCTCAAGGGTGCCCACTGTTCACCTGACCAGAGATGGCCACATTCCTGGTACCCACCCCCCACCCCGAACCACATAGCCAGGGCTCCTTTAAGTAACCAGAGGCCCCACAGAAATTGGTCACACAGAGGGCTTGGCCACCGTGAGAAAGGCTGCGCTAGTTCCTTCTACAGGGGCCGCTGAGAAAACCTGGGCGCACTGAACCCAGGCTCAAGGTGGCACAATCTGCTGGTCACTCGAGTGCCAATGTTCCAGGTGTGTGTGCGGGGGTACAAACAGGTCAAAGGCTTTTGGGTTCCTCTGACCCAACACAATGCTAGTCTACTGCTTACAAAGGAAGTTAACAGGGTGGCCACAGGACAAGCACTTCTCCCCTCTTCCCTCTGTTTCCTTTGCCGACCTGATGGGGGACCAAGTACCACAGACTTGTGTGGCTGGCTGTGACACCCTGGCCCACCGCTGTCCTGGAGAGGCAGCCTGGCTCACCCTCCCCGTTTCCTCAGCCAGGACCTGGCTCGAGGCAGCTGACTGATCACCCTTGGCTGTCCCAGAAATGACTCATGGAAAATAACCCCGAAGCAGGGGAGCATTTTCAGTAAAATCCAGCTGGCACATGGCCGTGTTTGTCCTCATGCTCCGCCCCCCCCTTTTGTAAAATGACTACTCCGTTCCACAGCTGACAAGGCAAGAACCAGAGAAGTGGCCCCCCGACACCCCCTAACTCCCTAGTAGGCCTCCCTAGTACATTTCAACAGCTCATCTACTGAGCAAGGTGAAGTTTAGCTCCCTGCACACCAAGACAGGCCAAGTAGAATGAATCCACAGATAGCAGGGTCCTAAGTTTACTTAACTGGCTCTACCCAGGGAACCTCTGGATCCTTAGGGAGGGAGGGAATGCAGATGGTTGGAACCATCTAAAGCCCCTGGCGGGGCCCTGGTGGCATAGTGGTCATGTGTTGGGCTGCCACCCTCAAGGCCCACAGTTCAACACCAGATGCTCCAAGGAAGAAAGATGGGGCTCTCCACTCCTGTCAACAGCCTCGGAGACTTCTCCCCTGATGGCACTCACCTGAACCCTTCCTTTCTGTTACCTTAAGTCTCGGCCACCGTTTCCTTGGGCCTCTTACCTGGCTGTCAAGTCGTGATGAAGAGGTGCGACATGCTTTCCCCACATGAAAGCAAGTGCCCATGTGCACCTGCACATGCTCAGGAAAGGGCTGTGCTCCTTGGCACACACTGGGGTACACCATACGGTAAGGGACGATTGTGAGACGGCAGAAGGGCAGGGGCTTAAGTGACATGGGACTTGGCTTTGATCAGAGAAAACTCTGACCCTCTTAATCTCATTGGGGGAGGCAAGACTCAGGACTGGACTGGACTCTCCAGCGCCCTGAACAGTCCTCTCAGGGACATTCTGGGTTGAGGACAAGGAGGCAAAGAGTCTATCACTGCCAGTTGGCCGACTACGGCTCTCCCATATGTACGGCCGAGTCGCTCCCTGGCAGCCTAGCTCAATTCCTGCGGGTGCAGCCTCGCTTCTGGAGCCAGATTTTAAAGATGAAGAAAAGCAGTCCTTCCGGTAGCCAAGTCGAAGCGCCAGCAAAGACGCACATGCTGACCTATGCGCTGACCCGCTCCGGCTGGGGCAGACACGGGCTGAACGCCCTCAGAGAGGAAGGGTCCGACACACTTCCTTTACGCTTGTTGTTGTTGGAACGTTTTATTCTGAACATCAAACATTGCACCCAATGTGATCCATTTATTTCAAGACAACTGGCTTTACCTTAACTATGAGTACTGTACTGATGTTTACAATTGGTTTCGGACAACTTAAACTTATTAGCGGCATTGCTTATAATCAAATCTTCATCATAAATGGAATTTAATTGTTAAAGTGGAAAAAGCCAAGTTTTCCCACCCTTTCTTACCTTCAAAGAAAACAAACAAAAATGACTAGTTTTCACCTGGAAAGAGCACTTACACAAAAACCAATTTCTCGGTGGTTTCATTAAACCCGGCGTGCTCTACAGCCAGGACAGCCAGCCTTCCCAGAGCGAACGTGAGACCGAGAGCTGATCAGATGCCCTGCCAGTTCAAAACCAGATGCCCTGTTGTGTTGACTGATTCTCAACACAAACAAGAGCCAGCTGGGCGGTAAAGACTCCGCTGCACCCTGGCTGAGCGCAGGCCCCCCGGGGAGACCCCCGTCCCCCAGGCAGCTGTGGCACCCCAGCACTGACTGAGTGCACAGGGGGCCCAGAGATGGAGAGAGCTTGATTGGGCTTTTAGCAGCTGTCCTGTTAGGACACTGTACTGGTAAGCCTTTTGTTTTCCAGTTGAAAACTAAGCAGATGCTCCTACGACGCGGCAAGCTCAGTCCTCAAGCATGGGACGGTCTGCGTGCTCTGGGCCCACATGTGCACTACCCACCGCCTGACAAGGATGCGGACGTGCACACCGCCTCACAGAAGTCCACGCTTAAACACATGGGCTTACGTCAATGCAAATACTACAGGTAGACTGGATTGGAAAGAGGGACCATTTAATCAATGGCACAACTGATAGAATGATGCAGAAGAGCCCATCTGCCCTGCCGGCTCCCGGGGCGCCCCAGCACCGCACACCTCGTGAGGGCAGGGCACGGCCCATGAACTCATCATCCTAAGGGCTGTGTACAAACACTCAAGGGCATCTCTCTTTCACAGAAAGAACAAATGTCATTTGTACCAAATGGCAATGGTTTTTTTTTTAGCACAAACGTAATACTTTCATTAACACTACAGTAATAGTAATTCGCCTACTTTCATATGAGGGACTCCTCGAAATAAGGAAAAAGACGCATGTCAACTAGCATATATATACCGACTGGATCGACCGGTGGAGATAAAGCCCACTGCTTGTGGGACAAATGGACCGAGCCCTCAGCGCACAGCTGGCTTCCTGGCTGATCCCGACGACGGAAGGCCTGTGTCAGAGAGCAGCTCTTGGGAGACACAAAAGCCTGAGGCTCTATGGAGGGCAACCTAAGGGAGGGCCTCGGACTGAGAAAGTACCCACCAGGGTTTTCTGAGCACACACCTGCAAAGACACCTACTAGGCTCAGGCTGGGGTCACAACACACCTATTCTCCTGACTTGGCCCAGAGGGCGGCCAATGGCGCCCCATGATGGCACTCACTGGGTGCATGGCAGTGAAGTAGACCTGGGTTACCAAGGGAAATCGCTCCGCTGGCACCTGCTCTCCTAGGGTTTTGAACTTAGGTAAGAACTTCACACATAGCCTAACCTTGTGTCCCTAGCCTAGTACACATGCCAACCCAACTCAGGAGATCATTTGTCCCGAGACACTGGAGGCGAGGCCTAGGCTGGGGAGCACGGCCCGCTGCTTCTGCGAATCCGTACTGCCTTCAGGGTCTGTCCTATGCACCCTCTCCAGGGACCACTGCCTCCACAGCCAGCCAGCCGCGGCAAACCAACTCCCCAACCTGGAAATGCCACTGCCCGACTCTCCCCTCCGGGTCGCTATTCCTGTGGGTGATGGGTGGGCAGCCCCAGGGGAGGGGGGGCTGCGCCACCAGTCCCTCAGCTCTCTCCGCCCACTGCCCTCCACACGGGGCACTGAGGAGGGCCACCTTTCAAACAGTTCTCCTGATTCAGCACTGAGGTGATTGTCAACACCGCACTACGGAGAATGAGCCCTGGAGGAACTTAGGGCACGGGACCAGGTGCTGTGGGTCTGACTTCGACGAGAGCTCTGTACGGCTCAGGGGGCAAGCTGAGTTGCGCTTCACATTTTCGGAGGAAATACATGGGAGCCCCCATGTGCCCTCACAGGGCAGCCTGCGCCTGGCAGACGGGAGCAGTCGGGTGGGGCTCAGGGATGAAGGAGAAGGGTGGGCAGCTCCGTGAGCCTCCTCTTGAGTAGCTCCACAAGTTTTATCCACAACTGACTCCAAACGCCCGAGCCAAGCCCAGTCTTGGCCTTGAGCGGGTTGAGTGTCACTGTGCTTTCCTGACATTCTAAAGGGTGCGACTGAGAAGCCCTGCCCCAAAGCAAGACAGCCAACAGCTGACCTACAGCAGGCAAGCAGCCGGGGCAGAGAGAAGGGCGCTCCCGGGATGGGAGGCGCTATTTCTCTTGTTCTTAAAACTCAACCCCCACTAACATGGTATTTATTGAGAACACACAACATGTATACCTGCAAGACCCGCTTCTTCCGGAGCGTACTAAGAAATAGGGCAGGGCCTCCCATTGTAGTGTCCCCCCAAGGCTCCGTGCCAGAACAGACAACTCCCCCTACTCCCACCCTCTGGGCTGAAGCAGGGCCCTGGCTGAAGGCAGAACAGGGGAGTCCAGAGCCGAGAGGTACAGGGGCGGTGGTAACAACATCACTAACTGGAGAGAGAGCAAGAGCCTGACTCTTAGCTGCTGGAGGCAACGAGACCACGCTACTGTGTGCTGCTTTCATCCCATCCTTCTTGGCTACGCTTGTCTTGCTTTAAAGTCGAGCAGTGAAAGGAATGCCCAGCACACTGCTGGCACACAGTGTCTGGGGGTGGACCAGCTTCCAAGGCCCTGAGCCCGGCGCTGCCAGCCCGGGACGGAGGAGGCACAGCCCTCTGCGGGCGGCTGGCGCTGGTTCTCAGGGAAGCCCGTGTCCTCTGTGCAGCAGAAGCCAGTCAGTCACATGTCTCCCGACAGGCAGAGTGACTGGGAGCCCCACTCGGGGAGGGGGGAGGAGGGTCTCCTCAGGCCAGGTCATCCAGGTTCACATTGGCGATCGGGTCTCGCCAGTAGCAGAAGGAGCTATACTCCGGGCATGGAAAGGCCGAATTCTGTTCTTTATTGAGAAGCGGGAACACGTGCTCCACCAGCTCACTCAACCTGTGGTACCTGGAAGGGGGTGGGAAGGAACACACGGGCTGTTACCGAAACCAGCCAAAGAGCACACGGACCAGTTTACAGCTCGCTTCTGTCCTCGCCCCGTTTGGGACATTTCCTCCCTCCAAGTCCAGGATTGCCCGTATTCCTCAAATTCCAGTTCTGGGAGTAGAACCCAGCCAGAACTCTCCTGCTGACAGAAGCAGCGCTGTGGGAGCCACAGGCTGCTGCCTGCTCCTACTCTGTTCTCGGGCCGTCGAGTCAGGGTGGGGGGGTGGGGGGTGGCTGGGCACCAGACTGCAGTTGCAGTGCACTTACGAAGACTTGTTGCCTTTGGTCCTTTCCTGTATTAGCTCCCCCTTTGGGTTCACGGTGAATATTCGACAGTCCGGGACTCCAACTTGTGTGTACGCGTAGACATCCTGCAGAAGAGAGCACGTGGTGGGCAGGGCAGAGTGTCCAGAGACGCTCTGCGGGGCACCTCCCATACAAGCCAGAGGGCGGGTGGGGAGGCAGAAAGCTAGTCAGCAAGGAGAAGGGCTCTTGCCCCTCCTGGAACCTGAAGCTCCTCTCCTGTGAGGCGGCTCTGGGAGGCACCAGGGACATGGCTCAGAACCAGAGGCCGAGGAGTTAGAATCCCACAGCCACCTGAGCGCGCACCATCCTTCACCCGCCCACCATGCAGGCGTGTCTGCCTACAGGACCTGGGGACACTGATGCACCCCCTCCTTAGGTGGGTGGCACCGCAAATGAGTGCAATCGTTGCTTTAGGCTCTGCTGTTGCTGGGTGCCATCAAGTCATTTCCAAGCCACAGGGACCCTGTGTGTGACAGAGCAGGCACTGCACTATCCCGGTCAAGCTTGTTGAGAGGGGTCCTCCTTTTGAATGACCCTGCACTTTGCCAAAAATGATATCCTTCTTCAGGGACTGGTCCTGATAACGTGCCCAAGGTGTGGTAAGAGAGGAAGTCTCACCATCCTCAGAGCTACCCAGGAGCAATCTGGCTCTACTTCTTCCACAACAGGTTTGTTCTCTGTCTTGGCAGTCCATGGTCTAGTCAGTATTCTTTTCCAACACTGTCATTCAAATGCACCAGTCTTTCCGTCTTCCGTATTCGTCGCCCGTCTTACACAAGAAAACGAAGGGGCAGAAAATACCCTGGGTTGAGTCAGATGTTCCTTAGTTCTCAAGGTGACCTCTTGGCTCTTTAACACTTTAAAGAGGTCTTTTGCAGCATAGAGGCCCAGTTTTTAATTAAAAAATTTTTTTAATGATTATGGGGGTTTATTAGTGAAGTTAACAGATTACCACAAGTCAGGATCCTGAAGGACACAGTCCTTTATCCACAGTGGTCCTCTGCTCAGTCATGTTGGCAAATACTTCTCTCTCTGGTCCGTGGTCGGTCTCTCAGCCACGAGGTGCCTCAGCCACTGTTCACGGTCTCGTGGTCTCACTGTGCTCCCTGCTTAGTCTCATGGTCTTTGCCTGTGGCCGCCTGGAAAATCCCATTCTTCCCCCAGAGTCCCTTGTCCTGATACTAACACAAGCTTCAGAGAGCGCCTTGTCCAGACCCTTCAGCACATAACTGGTGGTTCTGTCAACTTGAGGATGTCAGTGTGTTCTTATGACTCCAAGGGCCTTGAAAGGAGACTTCATGAGGCATACGGTTTCAAACTTGCCTTCAAGAAGCTTATAATTAGAGTTCTTTCTATAAAAGAACTGACCAGGTCAGGACATTGTGGAAATACAAATACAAATCAATCAGACACAAGCGCATGAATCAGCTCATGGTCTCACATAGTTTTAGCATGGGGAAGCATGAAGTCTGAATTCGGGCTCACTAGGAAAGCTGCTTGGGCAAGTCCAGGTTTCCACAGTGCCTGGAAGTCAGTCCTGTGCCAGACGAGCTTTGTGGGGGAGCTTGTAACAATGGCCACCAGTCCTCCCATCATTTTCTTACCTCTTTGCCTTAACTGCACTTGACTTGGCTTCTCCTCCTATCAAAAGATACAACTCATTTTTCAACCCTTTGCATCTCAACTTGTCCCTTCATGTGCCTTTGGGACAATGGGGCAACAGAAGATGTGAGGTAATTAGAGGCTTGAGAAATGTTGGTTCAGTGGGGTTTGTGGATACCTCATCCAGTTGGTTGTCAATGCACCTGTGAGTGAGGCCATCTTTGAGTAGCTAGCCCCGGGGTGAAGGCTGCTGCATGGCAGACACCCCCGCCAGGTGAGGTGAGCCAAAGAACAGCCTCTCTGGGCCCGGTCTAGCCCAGACCGCTGACCCACGGAATCATGAACTAAAAAATGTTTATTGTTTAAAGCCAAAAAAAAGACCGCAGGGACAGATCAGGTGAAAGCCCACTGAACAGAAGCCACAGCCGTTCCGTCACTTGGGTTGGACACACACACACACACACACACACACACACACCCCATGTCTCCGCCTCTCCCCACCTGCCCCCGCAGCCCAGAGGACACACTTACGTTTGGGCGGTTTCCGAAGGCAGCATAGAAGGGCTGCCTGCACGGGGCGAACAGGTTCTTGATATCGTTCAGACATTCAATTTTGAACTTCTCTGGCTTCTTTTCGATCACTTCTCTAGGTGGGAAAACCGCACAATCAAAACAACCCGGAGGCCAGCGCCTACCCAACACAAAGCGCCTCCCACTGCGTCCCTGCCACGGTCCTCTCCGCCACACACCTGTCCCAGTCTCCTTAGGGCACCTTCAAAAGCAGGCGCACACACCAGCCTGGCCAAAGGTTCTGAAAGGATGTGCGGGCCCAGTTCAATTCAAGGACATGTTGAGAAGCAATACAAGCCTATCTAGGGTCGTTTTGAGCCAGGATCAACTAGATGGCAGTGGGTTTGTTGCTTTGCTTTGTTTGGGGGTGGTAGTGATGATTGTTTAGTACTTTCCAACGTACTCCCACAACCATCACGTGGGAAACACGGCCCCAGGAGCACAGGCCTACAAGGATTCTGTGCTCACCCGACAGGTTTTCAATCCCCCATTACTGGTGACAGTAGCATTCTCTGTCTTCCCCAGATGGATGGCTGCGAGTGCTAAATGCTGGGGTCCCGCAAAGACAACTTGAGAACCAGAACTGGACTTTCTGGTCTCCGACCGAGTCGGTGGGTGGGAGGGGGGAGGGCGTGCCCGTACAAGGTAAGAGCTGCGGGAGGCCAGAGACCGGAGAGAGAAGTGCATGCTCTGACTTGGACACTAGCACACCCCAGTGGTGACAGGCACTCACTCACACATGCCACTCAGGGAGCTCAGGCTGGCCCGGTCCCACAGGGAGGTGAGGCGAAGTACCTGTGGAAGGCCGAGAATAAGCTGCTGGGGGACAGCATGAGAGGGCCCCGAGGCAGGATCGTGCCCTTGTCATTGACCCAGTGGAGGTAGCCGCGGGTCATGTCAGCCATGCCGATGGCGCGGGCCGAACAGTACAGGAACTTGTAGCCATTCCTGAAAGAGGACACAGACGCCTGCTTAAGCCCACGGGCTCTGGCTAAGAGAAGGGGAGGGATGAGAGGCAAATTTCTTTCAAAAGACACGGATCGAGCGCCTTCATTACTGTGAATTTAGAAGAAAACTAGTAAAGGTTGTAATGATTGTATCTTTCCCCACAGACCATCACTGGGGGATGGGGGTGGTAATACACACTAGGAATTAGGTGAACGTTCTAAGTCATCGATATAATTTATCCAGCAGCTAGTTAATGAGTGCCACGTTACAGAAGAGTCAAGCAATTGTGGTCTAGCTTTAAATTAATAAGAACATGCATCCACGGGGTTTTTATTTATAAGCCTATGACGAATGCACACCATCTTCTAGGATAAGGAGATTTTGGCAAGCACACTAACTTTTAAGGATGGCGTGCTGAACTACGCCTTAAGACACAGCACTTTCAAATCACTGCAACCCCGAGCTGTCAGGACCCACCGGGGTCCCGGCTCTGCTTCTCCCTCCAAGAGCCCCTGACAGAGGAGCCCAGGACCTGTGGGATCTTGGCAGGGGAACTGCCTCCCACCTGAGGCAAGGAGGGAGGAGCTGGCTGCCTGGGTGCAAACCCACAAGAAAGGCAGCAGCAATAGCAGGGAGGGGCATTTGCGAGCTGGCGGGGAGCTGGTAAGTGCAGCGCCCCCAGAGCACACCAGCACAGGCTGGACAGGTACCAGCAGCTGGGTGGTGAGCACATATGCAACTGACTGTCTTGTTTCTGACAAGCCCACACATCCACATGTGCTGGGGGAACTGTCCCCTATGTGTGGCAGGCATTACCTAATGTAAGCAATACCATTTAAAAACACCTAAGAAATAAAAAGTGAAAGTAGCCTTCATCGTTAAAACTCTAGCTGAACAACACGGAACTAGATACATGGGGGCTTTTGTGGAACACTCCGTGATCTTGTTACTTCATTTCCTCACAAACTCTTTGAAAGCCATTTGTAAATGCTAGCTAGCTATAACGGCAAACACAGTAGCCCCTCACATTCAGGGTCGAGAGGACAGACTGAAATAGCACAGGGAAAGCCTGTCGCACAACACACAGTGCCACGCAGTGCAGGAGGCAGACCTGGCGGCTGCCAATGCATGTGCCCATAGAGACGGAGGGGAGGAGGCGGGGTCGGCTGGATCAAAGAGGCCTGCATTGGGAGGAAAGGAGAGTCCGTTCCCCTCGTTTTAATCAAAGCTCTAGAGGAACCGACACCTACTCGTTGATGGAATGGTAGAGCCTTGCTATGCCCTGGTGAGTCCAGTCTTTACCCAGCTGCGGGAGGATCTGCCCGAGAGCATCAGACCTAGGAAGCGGGTGAGAAGAAGAACAAGTATTAAAACCAAGTGTGTAAGAAAGCCCAGAACGTTCCCTACTGGGTTAGGGACGAGCTACCGACTGATACTGGGTGGGCTGGGCTCCACCAGGCTTTGTGTAGCCGCATAGGGGGCTTTGCCAGCGCACCGAGGGCCGTCAGGACCAGAGCCAGATGTGCACTTTCGGGAAACATGTGCAATCACACATCTGCTTTCCCTCGGCTCTAGTCTCCTCAGCTTCTTACACCAGGCATCTGGAGACCACCTGACCAACTTTTTCCAGGAACCTGGAGAGATTTCTGACTTTGCCACGGCAGTCTGCCCCATCTCCTTTCCAGTGTGGACTGCACTACGATGTCCCAGTGCAGAGCACTCAGACCATCCCCAAGATGCCCAGACTGAGGAGTGCCAGCCCCTCCATGAGGGGCAGTGCTTACTTGGTGATCGTCCCGTCGATGTCAGAGATGACGACCTTGTCATCCCAGTTCCACAGGTAAATGGTCCCTGCGCAGCGGCAGGTACCTTGATACTGGGTTGTAATACTAAATACAACATCATTCGGCCCATCTTGCAGCTTCAGTTTTGCCTTTTATAAAAGGTACAAGAATAAAGAAAAACAGCTGAGAAATATAGAGTGTGGAATGGAGTTTAATATTTATAAAAATCATGGCCGGTGTTTTTTAGGATTCGAACCACCCGAGAGGCAGGGGTAGTTTCCTCTCATCCCCCAACGAGCCGCCACGCACTGAGCAGTGTTGCGAACCTCAAAGCCGTCTCTGGACATAAAACCCCAAACCTTTCTGCTCTCCCTCCAGACTCGATTGTCACTGCTCTGAGACACAGCCTCCTGCTATCCCAGAAAGATGCTTTCCATATTGAAAATGGTAAACATCTAGGGACTAGCCAATAAGCAAAAAAGGGTGAATTGTTCTTAATTGGAGAAATGCCATTTCCCTATTGCCGTAGTTCCTAAGACAGGGGTCCTCAAACTACGGCCCATGGGCCACATGCGGCCCACCGAGGACATATATCCAGCCAGCTGGGTGTTTTTGCCCCGTTTTGTTTTCTACTTCAAAATAAGATATGTGCAGTGTGTGCAGAAATTTGTTCATAGTTTGTTTGTTTTTTTAACTATAGTCCGGCCCTCCAACAGGTCTGAGGGACAATGAACTGGCCCCGTTAAAAAAGTTTGAGGACCCCTGTCCTAAGAGAACACTGGACCTTCAAGATGAAGATCCTCAGTGAAAAATGTTGAAGATTCAGATTCCCCAGGCCACTGGAGGGCACCTGGGAACGGGGTAGGGTCTCTTCTGTTGAGTATGAAAATGTGTACAGCTTGCACCATGCAGCTTATGACAGTCTTGGAAGTGGGCAAATGGAAGAGGCAGCCAGGCAGGCTGAACAGCCCTGCAGGAAAGCACAGTGGGCCCTTCAGAGCCCGGGACTCACGATCTGCTCTGAGGAGAGTCGCAGGGACTTCTTGTAAGAGGGCGAGCCGCCGTGCAGCAGGCGCTCCCCGGGAAGCGGGTCCGCGCTGAGGGATTCTTCCAGCTCCTGGGAGGCCTCTTCACTCGAGGAGTCATCCTCAGACAGCCTAGACAACATCACATCGGAGGCTGTTACTCTCACACACAACCCATGCTTTCTGTGCCTCTGCCAGCCAGACAATCCCGTAATGTGTGTTAGGCACGTTATTTATGAAAGTGTGTTAGTTACAGAAATTCTAAAAGTTTGTGGGAAAAGTGGAATGGAAAGATAACAGGGGTTTTTCTATGAACTTTTTAAAGCTCCCTCATAGAGTACTGAAGCAGCCACGGGGCGTTTTACTGAGGACACTTTCATTTAGGATGGGAAGAGAGGACATCCTAACGCAGCAGTTCTCAACCTTTGGGTCCCGATCCCTTTGGGGGTCAAGCGACCCTTCCACAGGGGTTGCCTAAGGCCATTGGAAAACACATTATTTCCGATGGCTTTAAGAACCAAGACACCACTCCTTTATCCGTCTCCAGGTGGGTCCTGCTCACATGCAGATACGACCACATGCGAGTACCCGCGTGAAGACGTGTACCCTTGCTACACCATGCTTCCAGACAAAATTTCACTGATTTGTCATTAGAAATAAGTATTTCACAATATATAATGACATATTGTTTTTGTGACTCATCACTATGCTTTTAATTTTGTTCAACTTGTAACAATGAAAATACATCCTGCATATCAGATATTGACATGACGACTCATAACAGTAGCAAAATTATAGTTATGAAGTAGCAATGAAATAATTTTTTGGTTGGGGGGGGTCACCACCAAACGAAGAACTGTATTAAAGGGTCGCGGCATTAGGAAGGTTGAGAACCACTGTTTTAACATATCCTTTACATTCCCGAAGGACATGAAATTGTCCTCTGACATTTCCCCATACCCACAAGTTTGGAGGACTGAAAGAACCCCATCAGGATGTGAGGACAACACCTCTCTTTCTTCCCTTCCCTTAATGGAGAGGCAGTACTTTCTGGCCATTATTTCTGGCTGCAGTAACTAAATGCTAAAAAGTTCCAAGCTCCCTGTCTATAGAACAGGGTAGAACTGCCCATGTGGGTTTCCCAGACTAACTCTGTCTCCCTTGGTGGATTAGTACTAACCACACCACCATCAGGGCTCCACATGTGCTAATAGGCTTCCACAATCCATCTGGTCCCTACCAGAAAGGATAGGCACGTTTCAGAAAGTACAAATTAATTGTCATTAATTAAACAACTAGTAAGAAAGAGCTTATATGTCCCTAAGAGAGAGTAAAGAACAGGGCAATAAACTCTCGGGAGAAGACAGTCTCATCTGGGAACACGAAGCGCACAACAGAAACAAGAGCCAGGTATCAAATAGAGTGGACAACGTCGTGGGGGCAGCCCACCGAAACGTCCAGGTAATGAAACGTTTGAGACTGCCCATCCACCCACTTTCATTTCCTGTTTCCTCCGGCATCCGATGCAAGGCGGCCGGGGAGCAGGGCACAAGGGTGTGGTGAATCTTCAGTCAGCCCTTTCCCCAAAGCTTGCATATATAAATCCCAGTCGCAGGTTTCGGGGTCTGAAACAGGGATAGGTATTTGGGGAACAGCGGTGAGTAGTGTTTAAAAGTCTCTAGGCTGATGACTTCTTGGAAGAGTTGACGTCACCGAGCTGCACACACGGTTCTGACAGAGAAGTAAACAAGTTACATGCGGGAAGTGAACTCCGAGAGAAGACGCGGTGCCCACCTGGCACTGGCTTGCTCCTGAGCGCTTGAAGGCAGGTCACTGGCTTGCTGGGCTTCAGACTTCCCGTCTTTGGTCTCTGGCAGCTACAAGACAAAAGACCAATCATGACCACACACGGTGTCCCTACCAACCAGCAAACTTTCATCAGCAATCCTTTTCTGGAGAAAACCAGTTACTTTCTGAATCCAGAACACAAACAGACACAGACACACGGCTCTAGAAACAGACTCTCTCTAGTTTGAGCCAAGGAACAGAAACATGACACAGAAGTCACAGGCTGCTTGAAAGAAGCTGTACCCCTCAAAGCAGAAGTAAAAAAGATGGCCGTATCAAGCCACAAAATATAACAAGGCAGGTCTGGCACACACAGATGTCCAGAATCATATTATAGGTTTTCTCTTCCATTCCACTCTTCCTTAGGGTTGGATTTTATCAAATGGGGTTTATGTCCCCAGAGAAGTGACCAGATGTGGCAGTTACATAATCTCCTGTCAACTTGAGCAAAGGGGTGGCGTCCAGCCTGTCAAGCAGGTCATAGCTAATGATGCTTCTCTGTGGGCATGGCCTTCTCCTGAAGATTCTGGGAACGCCTGTCTTCCTCCCTGGAGGTGGGACACATACTGCTTCATATTCTGTTGACAAGCCACATGAAGCTATGTTGATGGCAGCCATAGCCCTGGAGCTGGAGGAGCCACATGGAAAGTCGTGCCAGCGCTGAGATGATTCCTTAAGGCTTTTTATCCACTAGCCTGTGATCTTCCTGTTTTCAGCATCATTGCATGTGCTGTGTGAGTCTGTAGAAGAATTTATGGACTAGTGTTGGGCATATGGACTTGATCTGGGCTGGGCTGTCTTATTGATGCACAATTACTTCTTAGTATAAAGTTCTCTCTTACACATATGACTGTCAATGAATATTTCTCTAGTCAACCTGGATTAACACATTATGTTTACTAACAAATCCAGAGGCACTCATGTGTGTAAGAGAGAGCTTTGATCAAAGTGTAATTGTACATTAAGAAAACATCCTAGCCCAGTCCAGATCAAGTCCTTCAGTCTGATATTAGCCCATATGTCTGATACCAATCTATAAAGTCCTCTTCAGAATCATGCCACACATGCAATGACGCCGAATGCAGGAAGATCACAGGCCAGTGGGTGAAAAGTCTTGTGGATCCAATGGCACTGGAAGCATATCCAGGGCTCTGGCTGCCATCAGCTTGTCAACAGGAAGGTGAAGCAGAGTGTGCGTCGGTCGGGGTCCCTTGCAGAGCCACAAGGAGTACAGTGTGCAGCAGTTACAGGGACGTTCTTGTTCCTGGAGCGGCTCAGCCCCAAGTGGGGAAAGGCCAGGGAGGTGGACCTGCCCTGCCAGTGTTCGCTTGAGAGAGGAGGGCTTGACTATCTGCATCTGAAAGCACTTGAGGAGGCTGATAAACTTCAATCTGACGGGTCATGTCACCCCCAGGTGGAGAGCTGGAGACAGGCTTTGGATGTCAAATCTCAGCTCCGTATCCTATCAATCACACTTTAGTCAAACTACTCAACCCGTGTGTGCCAAAGTCTCCTTACCAATAAAATGGGAATTCCCCTATTTACACTATGGGAAGTTTAGAGGAAATGCATAGCAAGCACCTGGCACAGTCCCTGCCCATAGTAATTACCCAAATATGCCGTATGTACTATTATTGTAATACAGCAATCTACCCAGCCTGACTGACTTTCTCATGCTTGGCCACAAAGTGTTCTGAATAAATGAAAGGGGTACGTCCTCTTTAGCCTGGGGAAATGCAGGTGTGTTACCTGTTTGGTCATGCTTTCTTTCTTGCGCCAAAACCACCACCGACCAGATTTTTTTGGCATCTTATCTTTGACCCAGGATTCCACGGTTGCCTAGAAACAACCAATATGGGTTAGTAGTCTGGGCCGTTTCCTGCCCCAAGCTTGCAGGTGATACTTCATATGTAATGTTAAGCTGGTGAGCAAACAGACTAGATTCCACACTTCCTGGAGCCTAGGGCATTCTTCCACTTCTGACAGACAGACAGACAGACAAGAGACAATTCCCTGCTTTGCAAGCATATAGCAGAACTGGCTTGCCCTCTGCAGGGTGAGGCTGGGCAGTCTCCTCCGCAGGAGCATTTCTGGGCTCTCACAAGTTAGGAGGAACAACTAGGCTGATGACAGCTTCTTGTTGAGCCACTCAAAGAAAACCTCAGGTTCTAAACAACTGGCTCACTGGCCACATTTCTTTTCATCTGCTCTTACTGAGGTTGCTTCTGTTGGCCATTTGTCCTTTTCCTGGTAGCTTCCTTCCATATTAATAAGAACTTTATTTTTCATTCTATATTTGTTAAGACCTCAGCTTTTTTTTCCTTTAAATAATTTGATTGGGGGCTCTAACAATATTGTACATATGTTGCCATCATTTCCAAAATATTTTCTATTTGAGACCTTGGTATAAACTCCCTCCCCACCACATGTACCCTTGATCAATTATATATTGTTATTTCATATCTTACACTGTCCATTGTATCCTTTCATCCACATTTCTGTTATTCGACCCCCTGGGAGGGGGGCAGAGCTATATATCCGATCTTGTGATGGGTTCCCCCTTTCTCACCCTTCCTCCTCCTGGACCTCCCCTCTACCCTACACTCATGATATCATTATTCCCATTACTGTTCCTGAGGGGTTTATCTTTCCTGAATTCTGTTTTGAGAGCGCTTATCTGTACCAATATGTGTTCTCCGGTCTAGCCGGATTTGTAAGATAGAAAGAACTGTGTCACGGTAGTGGGGAAGAGGAAGTATTCAGGAACTAAAGGAATGATGTGTGATTCATTGCTAAAACTTCTCACCTTTTATATACAATTAGAAACTGACATACAAGCTAATAAAAGAGACCAAAGAAAGTGGGTCTAGGGTCCGTATTTTTGCACATATAGCTATGTAGACCTTTCACCAATAAGACTTTGAAGAATACTCAGTTTTAAAACTATGCACATGTAAATTTTAGCTGTACACTCTATAGTTCCAAAGAGGCACTAAAGCGTGGATGATCACCTTACCTTGGGCAGACTCTTCTGGAACACCTGTAAACTGAGGATCATGGGAGCAGCCAATGCCCAGTTATAGTAACTGTGAAGAAACAAACATAATGCAAAATCGTTAGATATAGACACTCTGGCACTCCTGCCAAAAGAGAACTACAACAGGCAAAATTACATACTCTCCTCACTAAAAAGATCTGCTAAATTGTTTTCACATAAGTAATCTTTGCTTCGAGCCAAATTTCACAGACTAGAGAAGTAGTAAAATTTATGAAATAGAAAAAATAACATTTCTATGCCTCATTTAAAAATAAAGTTGAAGCTTCATTTTCACTTCAAAGTCAATGCCCACTAGCTCATTTATGATAATGTATTTTAAAGCCAGGAAAACTACTCTTTGAAACAGAACTGGGGGGAAGCGGGAGAAGGCACACAACTCCGAGTACTTAACAATTATGGAAGCAGGAGAAAGTTACCGGTTATATATCCGTATTACAAGATTAGGATTATCTATCAGTCCAGGGTTTTCTGCAAATTCATGATAAGTGATGAGATGCTCCATGAATTTTTCTGCAATGTAAAATAATAACAATCCGTCCATTTGGTTAGAGGCTACGAAACTGAGGAAGCGTAAGATCATTTTAACACCCTGTGAATTGCAGGAATTATAGAATAAAATAAATCTCACAAAAAAAAAAAACACAACACCTAACTTTTATGATACCCCCCAGACAAGGAAGAGCACTTCTTTTTTGTCCTCCCTTTTAAGGAAAATTAATTACAGACGTGGGGACACACACTCTAACAAAAACAAAAACTAACTTTTCATTTTCATGCGAAGGAAAAGCTCTTCATTAGCAGGCAACTACACAGGGTATGCTGCATTAGAAGCAAACAGAAGTACCCAACTGCTGACAGACAGACAGACAGACAGAGAAAGCCCTAACTACCATAAAAAAGACAGGCCTCGGGGTTCGAGGACTATCAATAAATCCACCCTCAATTCTTAGAAAACGAGGATTTCTGGTGAACTGCCGCACCTTGTTCAGAACCTCTCCAGCAGATGCAGGGCAACAGAGACATTTCTCACTTTACTGCTCCTACAGGTAAAGTTATCTCCGATTTGACTTTACTGCCTCTTCTAATAATACATTCTCCCAGATTCAGCTACCAATATATGAAACGAAAGCACAAGTACACTTTCCTGCCTGTTCGTGTAGTGCAACGCTGCCATCGATTCCGACTCCCAGCTCCCCTCTACACCAGAACAGGGCACTGTCTGGTCCTGTGCCGTCCTTACAATGAATTTGTCCTTATGCTTGAACCCACTGTTGCGGCCTTTCTCTTTTCACCAAGCTTCACGTCCTTCTCCAGAGACTGGTCCTTCTCCATAACACGTCCTAAGTATGTGAGACAAAAGTCTCACCATCCTCAGTTCTAAGGAGCCCTCTGGCTGTACTTCTCTCAGGACAGATTTACTCGTTAGCTAGCTTCCATCCTGCAGTCTTCCTTATTAATTGTCCAGTCCTACTGGTCAAGCCTGAACTTTCTAAGTGCTGAAGTTCTGGTCCACAGTTAGCTCCCCTTCGACTAGGGTCCACCAAGTGGATTCTGATTAGAATGGTCAATAGTGGTAGCTGGCCCTCACTCTCGTTCTTCTGGTCTCAGGGGAGATGAGGTCGTGCTTTGTGTAAATAGACTAGTACTCCTGCGAACTAGTTTTTTCTTCTTTGAGTCTTTAATTTTCTTTATCCTCTTCGATCATTCTCTCTTAGTGACCTCTCTAGTGTCCCCCCACTCCCCACCAAAAAGCCACTGGCCTTAACAAAGCCTTCATTATTTTGTATACTAAATAAAACAAACAGAATTAGAGATGGAGAAGTGAGAGTTATAATGAGTATTCTATTACTCTAGATAATGGAGCTTCGGGTTCTTGCCTTCCCAAAATAAACATTTACTCTGAGAGGCACAGAATAGAGTTTTCGCAAAGAGAAATTTCCTCAAGAATCTCCTGGGAGAGAGAATCCCCCCACTAGCTTGCATGGCTGGACCTCTGGTGTTTCTCTCTGCCCACTCACTGGAAAACAGGCTTTTAAATCATTTAAAATCTTTTAAGAAGAAACTCTGCTGGGGGCAGCAAGGGTTTCTGGGAAACACAGTCTTGAGATAGTGCAGACTAGATTCTACATGTGCTCAGGCTAAATGTGCACCTTCGCTCCCATGCCCTACCACATTCTGAACAGAAAGAGGAGTAGGAAAGCCCAGTTCAGGAGCTAATGACATAGTGATGTCTACCATAAGCGTGCTGCCTTCAGCTCTCCGAGAGAGAGAGAGAGAGAGAGAGAGAGAGAGAGAGAGAGAGAGAGAGAAGACAAGGAATAGAACGAGTGCTAGGGGAAAAACAAAAACACTTCTCATAAAGAGGAAAACCCAACGCGTACCCACAGCCAATACAGAGCGGACATAAGTTTAAAAAGGAGACAAAGCCCACAAGGCTGACAAAGGTAGACAAATGCATGTGGTGCTCAGCCCACGTCCAAGGCTCCCAAACCTCCCTGCAAACCAATGCCCTTTCCATATTCTTGGGCAGGCATTACTGTGCTGGGCCAACTCAAGGTTGAGACAGAAATTGAGCTGTTGGTGCGTTCGCCAGAAAGCCCATTTATTCAGTGGACAGCAGTGCTTGTCAGTCAAGTCTAAAATCCAACGCTTTCTAGGTGGGCAGCTAGCTACCATCCCTTAACTTCACAGATGAGAACATGCAGGCTGCCTGACCCTGGCCAGCTGACTGGCACACAGGGCGACCATGCCCTCACTCTCGGGTAAAGTTAAGTCTCCAGGGCACATGCTTCACCAGTGATGTTTCTATTTAAGGTCACACCAGAGGTGCCTTCCATGGGGACTAAAGTGTTTGATCATGACGGCAATGCTGGTCACCCACACGAGATTACTAAAGAATGTAAATATTCAGGATAGTTAGTGGGCTGGGTTTCAAATTAAGTGGCCAAAGTGGCTTCTGAAGTCAAAATAAGGCCCGTGTAAGTGCCCACCTACCTTTAGAAATTTCTCCGTTCTCACTGAGGCCCCCGCAGAGTGAGAGGGTGACGTCGGGCAAGTCCATGGCGGAATCGGAGAGGCACTCGGTACCGCTGTCTGCGGCCGCACTTCCCACAGACTGTGGGGACTGGGAGCCCGAGAGGGCGTCCAACTCAGGCCACTGCCGGGAGCCTGGGTCTGATTCACTGGAGAGAAAGGTTGACCTTACTAGAACGTCCGGTACCCCGAGTTTACTACCTGGTTCTCTGGGGGCTTGAGCCAAATGACATCCCTTAAAGAGGAACAGACAGAACTAAAAGCACACCCTGGCTTTACTTCAGTCGTTTTTGGAACCGTATTAAAAACAAACTCCCCGCCATCGAGTTGGTGCAGGCTCACACTGAACCTCCAGGACGGGGTAGAACTGCCTTTGTGAGTTTCTAAGTCTGTAACTGTTTACAGGAGTAGAAAGTCCTGTCTTTCACCAGCTCAGTACCACATACTTGACATTAAAACATAGTAAACATGTTATAAAAGCACAACCGTCAATCACAAGAATACACACATTTCAACTAGAGCCCTACTGATTTTAATGAAAGGCGTTAAGAAAATTGTAAGCATCTATTTACATTTTCATGATGAAAATGAGACAGAAATTAAGAAAAATCTGGTGTTTGGAAACCTTTTTATCATAACTTCACGGAAGAACCGGTGTACCATACACCGCCTGCAGACAAAGGGTGTGCTTACTTATGTTTAAGTTTTTATTGAGATTTGGGTGAAGGCTAAGAGCAAACTGCATGCCCAGTCATTTCAGACACAGTTTGTTTTTGTGACACTGACTGCAACCCCTGCCCGTCCCACTGCCCCCCTGCCCTGTGACCTGTCCTCCGTCCTGCGACCTAGTCCTCCGGAGCAAGCGTGAACCCTGGGACTTCCTGTGAGGCCAAGTGTGCTAAGGAATGTGTTCACCTGATAGGCCTGCCCATTTGGGTGCAAGCTGAGCATCCTGGGGTGGGTACAGTTTGGCTCTGTTATTTTAAAACTATACATCGACTCTCCCAGTCATACTGTAACACCGGATTCATCCTTTCCCCATCTTTTAGAAGAGAAACTAAGAAATTTATCTGCATTGAGAAATGTCAATGCAGATAAATGGTAAAGGACGGGAAACCTGAAAGTGCGAATTGTAAAATTTACATTGTAAACCAAAAAACAAAACAAAACCAAAAAAGTAAAGCAATTTCTGTTCTCTCACTGTAAAACCCCCCAACCTATTTAAGACAATTGTTTTGGGGCAAATTTAAGGCCCAGCTATTGTATGAATCTTCTAACGATGTCTGACAAAGTGTTGCCAAATCTTTTCTCTCTACTCCAAAAGTAAAGCTAAAGAATCACACATTTAAAAGTATTTAATCATGTATATTTACATGAGTATATCCACAGGGACGAGTGATGGTGTTTTGTAATCGTAGAGTATAATAATGGAATTCCCCTAAGAATGGAAACAAACTTGGGAAAGCAGTGTAAACAGCACATTTGTTTGAGGTGTCAGAGGCACTCAAAGGGAAAAGCCACAAGGGACACAGAAGAAGTGACAAATGGTGAGGACTGAGGGGACTCGGGCAACAGAGAAGCGGCAAGAGTCACCTGGGCCCAGGCCTGAGCTCAGGAAAAGCTTGGGAACTCAGATTCCCCCCAAGTAAATGAAGCACCCGCCCTTTGAGAATATACAATAAATGCAACAGATGCTGGAGACTTTTCCTGAGGATGTGTTTGCTAAATGACTGTGCTAACTGCCAATCTGAAAGCACGTTCATTCTATACCCTTCTGTGGGTTTTCTTCACAAATCATTAGACTGAATTCCAAAATCACTAGAGTTAAACATCACACACCAATTCCGGATTGCAAAAAATCTGACGCACTCATCAGATTAAGTAAAAGGATACCATCACTGCGCTCCTTTTCCTCAAATGAAATTCTTTCACCCATCGCTCACTAACTACACATAAAAGACACTACCTTTTAGGGAAATAGAGAGCAGCAACCTCAGGTTCTAGAGCCTTTAAGTCATCCAGGTAAATATCATCAGGTCCTTGGTGCTGGCTTCTCTTGTGGACACCTGTTTTTACAAAAACACATCAGAGATAAGAACTTAATTATTCTTCATTTACAAATATGCAAAACACCAGAAGAGAAGAAAGCTGATGGTGCCCGGCTACCAAAAAGTATAGCATCTGGGGTCTTAAAGGCTTGAAGGTAAACAAGCGGCCACCTAACTCAGAAGCAACAAAGCCCACATGGAAGAAGCACACCAGCCTATGCAATCACGAGGTGTCAAAGGGATCAGGTATCATCAGAACAAAAAATCTTACCATAGTGAATGAGGGGGTGTGTGCAGAGTGGAGACCCAAAGCCCATTTGTAGGCCACTGGACATCCCCTTACAGAAGGGTCTCGGGGAGGAGAGGAGCCAGTCAGGGTGCGATGTAACAATGATGAAAAATACAACTTTCCTCTAGTTCCTAAATGCTTCCTCTACCCCCGCCCCTCCCCATATCATGATCCCAATTCTGTGTTGCAAGTCTGGCTAGACTAAAGGATGTACACTGGTAGATAGGAACTGGAAACACAGGGAATCCAGGACAGATGATCCTTTCAGGACCAGTGGTGTGAGTAGGGACACTGGGAGGGTAGAGGGAGAGTGGGTTGGAAAGGGGGAACCGATTACAAGGATCTACATTACAAGGATCTACATGTGACCTCCTCCCTGGGGGATGGACAACAGAAAAGTGGGTGAAGGGAAACGTCAGACAGGACAAGATATGTCAAAATAATAATTTATAAATTATCAAGGGTTCATGAGGGCAATGCGAAATTCCCTCCACCCACCCCAATGTAGGAGCAATGTGGTGCCACAGACCTAACAGCTGGTCCATAAGCACAAGCTGATTGACTCGCGCCTTATAAGAACAGTGCTTGTGCTTAAGTAATTTACATTATAGTGACAACAAAAGCAAGAAACGACTCACTGACAATGAGGTGATGCTAACCCATAGTGATCCTATAGCACAGGGTCGGACTGCCTCTGTGAGTTTCTGAGACTAACTCATGATGGGAGCAGATAGCCTCCTCTTTCTCCCAAGGAGCGGCTGGTGGTTTTGAACTGTTGATCTTGAAGCTCACAACCCAGTGTGTAACCACTAACCACTATCCTAATAGATAGTGAAGCGCCTACCCATAAAGTATACCCTACATATTAACTTTCAATTAAAAACAAAACCAAATTCAACCCAGATCTACGTAAACCTCTAGAGCTGCACTGACCACTGCAGGAGCCACCAGCAGCAGGTGGCCAGTGAACACTTGCACTGCCCCAAGTCTGAGCTGAGGTGCGCCAAATGTGTTAGCAAGTGTGTATGTCACACTGGATTTAGAAGACTTTCACAAAAACAAGAATGAAAAATACCTCAATAGTTCATTGATGACATGTTAAAATGTTATTATTTCAAGTTTACTGGTCAGAAAGAAGGTATTAAATTTAATTTCCTGTGTTTACTCTCACCCTCTGAGTCTCACTACTAAACCCAAACCCAACATTCTGACTCATGGCCACCCTATGGCGGGCTTCTTTACAGGAACAGCTGGAGGGAGGGTCACCTTTCTTCTGTGGTGCAACTGATGGGTTTAAACCAATGACCTTGCCTGTCCCACAGGCCCCCTGCAGCTCACGCGGCATTGCTATGCAACAGTGCTGCTGCCGGAGAGTCAACTTCATGTAAGAAACAACCAAGCAGACCTGGCAACATGAGAAAACCCACGACAAACGGAGCATTCTTCAAGTCAGTATCATGGGTGCAGGGGAAGAACTAACAGTCATCGGTCAGTTTGTTAGACTGTGGTGGTTTGCATGTTGCTGTGATGCTGGAAGCTACACCACAGGTATGCCCAACGCCAGCAGGGTCAACCACAGTGGAAAGGTTTTGGAGCGCTCCCACAGAGTGAGACTAAGAAGGACCATGAGAGGGCTGAAATGACCCAGAATGCTCCTTAGAAGAGGCCTGGTCTCCTGTGTCTGGGATAGGTTATTAGGAGGGATGAGGCCCTGGTTAGTGAAGTGGAGGATCCATGAGAAAGAGGACGACTCTCCACCCGATGGACTGCTACCAAGGGGCGCACACACAGGACTGGGGGCTTTGGTTCTACTGTACATGGAGTTGCTGTGAGTCAGGCTGTTTTGAAGGCACCTGATAGCAAATTACAGCCAACAAATGAGGGAGAAGCCATGGGTGTGTACGTGTTGCTCTGAGAGAAAAAAAAGTTAAATGATTAAAACAGCACAAAACCCAGAAGATAAATGCAAACTGATGAGATCTTAGTTTTAGAAAGAAGAAAACAGCTTAAAAAATCTTGGTATAGGTTCAGCAAATCTGATTATTCAATGATATTGTACTCTTCAAGATGACAATGGTACTGTGTTTATAAAGAGAACACTCTTGCTTAGAAGGTATACCTTCGGATATATGTAGTCAATGTTAGGTCTCAGTTTATTTTCAAATGGTCTGAAGTTAATAGTATTAATGTTTGGGAATGGTGTGCTGCTTCTATGTGGGGTTTTTGTTGCTTCCCTGCTAGAAGGCTGCTTGTCTAACTTCAAGCCTGTAAGACCCCAGACGCTATATCTTTTGATAGCCAGGTGTACTATATCTTTTGATAGCCAGGCACCATCCACTTTCTTCACCACATTTGCTATGCACCCATTTTGTCTTCAGCGATTGTGCTGGGAAGGTGAGTATCAAAGAGTGCCAGGTTATTAGAACAAAGTGTTCTTGTGTTTAGGGAGGCCTTGAGTAGAGGCTCAAAGTCCTCCTGTTATCTTAATACTTAATATATAAATATATGTAACTGGCCTTTATCACTTTCATTATAAATTAACATATTTACATGCCTATAGCAGTACCTCTATAAACAGCTATTGCCTTTTGGCTATGTGGATATTTTACTCCACCCTAAACTCAGGACCCAAGGCCATTGATTCACAGTGAGTGTGTTCTTACTGTACTGAGTATAAACAGGTAACTTTACTTTTAAATAATAAGAATGTTCTGTGTCATTAAGCTTGTATTTTGAAAGTGAACTAGAGCTAATGAGCCAGGAGTAGGACTCTATCTTCTCTGTTTTAGAGGGAAATAAGGAAAAAGGAGCACATATTAATAATTACCTTTCATTTGTAACTATCATTGCAAAAAGGGTGACAATTTTAATGCAACAGAGCCTTGAATTTGGCCTCAACCAACCTTTTTTTCTGTTTGAACTTCAATAACATACCTAGCAAATATAACGGTTAATTTTATTCATTCAGTCATTAGAATATACTCGTTTATTTTCTCAGTACTTATATCCAGGCTCTACTGAGTGACATGAGTCAGGATAGAGAAACGAGGGAGTTACAACCCTATTCTAGTGAACGTAGTATTTAAAGAAAAGGCTTACTTAACAAAGAACACCGAAGTGTGTGGTGCTGTTGGGTCAGCGTTTTGACTGCTACTCGCTGGGTCAGCACTTCAGACCCCCCAGCTGCTCTGGAGGAGAAGGAGGAGGATCTCTGATCCTGTAGAGGTTTACAGCCCCGGTAATCTCAGTGCAGGGTCACTCTGGGTCATAAAATGACCTCATGGGTAATCACTATGAGTCAGAATCAACTCAATGTCCTTGATCTCAGTAATAGTAGAGGACAGGATGCCTCGTTCCGCTGGACATGGGTCACCACAAGTCAGACCTGACTCATGCCAACTAAATACAAAACGCTTACCTTTCTTCTTTGACGGCGAGTCCACTTTAGCTGTTGGTTTTAACTCTGAGGAGGCCTCCACTAGGGATGGGTGAGGAAGGTGTTCTGTATCTAACATCGATGGAATCGGAGGATTCCCAAGAGGAGGAGCAACAAGCTCTGTGGTGAAAGTTGTATCGCTTATCTGCTTACACAGAGCTCTGGGCTTGGGTTTCACTATGGTGCACACAGTATCTTCAATGGAAACGTCCTTCTCAACTTCACTCAGTAGGGTGTCCTCGCTGGGAATAACCCGGAAATGGGTGTTTTCTGATGGTGTAATCACAGGTCCCCTGGGATGATGTTCAGGTCTCTCTCTTTTGCTGACCTAAAAAAAAGTTGAAATATAATGGTTCAGAAAAACAACTAGTGGGGGTGGTGGGGTGGGGGAGATGTTTCTAAAATGATGGCAACATATGTACAAATGTGCTTGACACATGGATGGATGTATTGTGATAAGAGCTGTTAAGAGCCCCCAATAAAATGATTTTAAAATAGAACTAGCTTCAAAGGTACCTGCTATAGTGTATTTCTTAAGCTGGATGCGTTATTCTTTATAACCTTGATACATTCTTTATAACCCTGCTACATTCATTAACTACGTTATTTAATGTGTGTGAAATAAAACAACTGGAATATGCATTTTGTTTAATATATTTATAGAAGATTTATTCTATACTCACCCTACATAAAAATTTAAATACTAGAGAACTATAAGATGTAAGAATACGACTCTCTCTCTCTGTTACTCTCTGGGAGACATTGCAGAAGACAAGACACATGGACGCAATCAGACCTTGGAAGCTGGAGAAGCCACAGAGAGACCCCTGACAGTGCTGAGATGTTTCCAATGACACTGGATCCGAAGACTTTCTATCCACTGGCCTGTGATCTCATGCATTCAGCGTCATTGCATGTGTTTCGTGAGTCTGAAAAGGACTTTATAGATTGATATTGGAAATATGGGCTAATATCGGACTTATGGCCTTGGACTGGACTGGGTTGGGATGTTTTCTCAATGTTCAGTTGCTCTTGTATATACATCTCTTTCTTATACACACACACGCACAAAAAAAAGATGTAAGAATACTTAGCTACTAACAGACTAAGGGACATAGAATGCTCATTGACAGAGAAAACCTGAAACACTAAACTTTCATCCTCTGTGAACTATCAAGCATCAGCTCCTCGATAAACCTACACCTTAAGGTTTTGAACCACAGTGTTAGAGAGCGAGAAAAAGTGCAAAGTCAATCGTACGCGATGCAAAACGTTTAGTCTTAAAACTATGTAACATTTTCTCAAGTAGCTTATCTTCTCTCTTCTCTCTTCTCTCACTGTAATTTGGCCACAAGCTTTCATAACCAACTTCTGGTTTAAACTTTCAATGTGGAACCTCAGTTTTCTCCAAGTGTCTTTTACAAGTTCCTTGCATCAACAATCAGCGAATTGCTGAGAGAAATAAAACGATGCTGGCTCTCTACGGTGGCAGACACACAACTCAAGTGTAATGAATCCGCTACCACTGTGTTTCTCGTGTGGCCACATGAGGGCACTAGTGTCATTTATATACATGCTTGTTTGCCTCGCTCACTTGTTCATGTGGTCAGCGATTACACCCTTTAACTTGTGGGTGGTGGGACTTGTCCCAAGTTTTGAGTACCTTAGTGGACTCTGGGAAGCCGCCCCATGTCCACTCCATGTGAGACTCGGATCTGAGCAGGCTTCCACCAGGTTTCAGCTCCAGCTCTGAGTCACTCTTAGGGCACACTGCCTGGGAATAGGCGCTGCAAACACAAGAACAAAGAAAGGGATGGCTTCGGAATTAGGATGTCTTCAGCCTAGCTGAGCAGGACACGTCAAAATAATATGCACTTTGAATAGATCAACTCGATCCTTTAGATATGAAGAGTGCTACGGGAACGAATACCAGGAATTTCCTTCAATTGAGTTCTTTAATAAAAAACCAATAGGCCACTTCTTCCCAAGGACTTGCCAGGTCCGCTGTAAACATTTCATATGTATTATCTCACTTGATTCTTATGAGAAACAACGAGGAAGATAATTTTGTAGGAGACAAAATGCATGAAAAATTAAGCTAAATGAATGTAATTATGAAGTGAGAGAAACTAGGTCTGACCCCTGCATAAACCTAGTGTTGCTCCACATACATTCCCTCTCTCCTACACACAGAACCGCAACCAGAATGCTCCTAGAGGCCAGGGTGGCGGACTTTGCCTCCTGTACTCTGAGCACTCTTCAACAAGTAACAACAATACTGCTGGGCCTCGGGCCATCCTCACAATTGTTCCTATGTATTTTAGATACGAGGAAGTCAAGGAAGCAGAGAAGGAGTAATGATTTTCCCAAAGTAAAAAGAGCTAGTTGGTTCTTGTCAGAAGACCAGTCACTGGAGAAGGACGTCAGGCTTGGTAAAGCACAGGGGAAAGAGAGAGAGGGGATGGACTACACAGTGGCTGTGAACACTGGGCTCAAGCACAGGAACAACGGGGAGGATGTGCAGCACCAGGCAGTGTTTCTCTCTGTTTACATAAGGACGCACGCTATGAGTGGGGACTGACTTCACAGCCCCTATGACCTACCACCACACAGCTACTGCCAATGATGGACACCCCAAAATGAGCATTTCAGACTGTAGATGGTCAAAACCCACGCTGACTAAACAGACTTCAACTGGCTGACTCTGTCAGAGGAAGACTAATGAAGTTTGGGAACAAAATAATCATTGAAGATAAAAATAAATATTCAGTTCCTAAACTGGTGAAGATTTAAAAACACCAGTAAATTGGTAACAGAAGTTATTTAGTATATCCTTCCTCCCTCCCTCCCTCCTCCCTTTTAAAAAACACTAAGAAATTGAAAAATACTTACTTGTCCAAAGGAGACCAATCGCCATCCGATAATGGGTAGTGGTCCGCAGAATGGAAGATCAAAGGCTCCTTATAGTCTTCTTCCTTTAAGGAAGCATTTGAAGATCCCCTGTAAGGGGGCAAAGAACAAAACAAATCACATAGAAAGGCATGAATAATGACATCAGCTTGAGATCTTCCCCAAAAGTACAAATGTGCTGGACACAATGGATGGATGGACGAATTGTGATAAGAGTTGTACGAGCCCCCAATAAAATGATTTTCAAAAAAACAAACAGAACTGCATGAACTAAAGGCTACTGTGTCAGCAATAAGACTAGCAGATTGTCTATTTTTCAGCTCAGCACATATTCCAGTATTAAACCTGAATCCACATGACACTTTATGCTTTTTTTTAACTTGAAAAAATTTTTAAATTAAGCACACTTTGCTTAAAGGAAATTTCAGAAAGGATTTCCTCCAAATGGCAGCATCTATAATTTACTGGTGACCTACAGAAAAGCAAATGATCAAGCTCTTGAACATTCCTGTGAGACCCTTGTTTTCATGGTTCTGATATGGTTTGTTTACCGAACAAGCAAGGTTCTTGCTCAGGATAAGCTGTCTTCCATTTCTAACTGGTCACCAAAGATTGGGTTGATTATCTTTCCATGCAAATTGGAAAAGTAAGGCATGTAACAAAAGTGATGTATTCATTTAGGACACCCATTTTAAAATTTCCTGATGCCAGGGCTTAAGTGGAGAGCAAATGTTTTGAGAATGAAGAGGGCAATGAATGTACAAATGTGCTTTACACAATTGATGTATGTATGGATTGTGATAAGAGTTGTATGAGCACCTAATAAAACTATAGAAAAAAAAAGAAAGAAATTGTAGTTATTTTTTATTAGCTTTAAATCCTTTGGGAATCAATGATCGAAATGTAGAATTCACAATATAATTAAGCTCTGCCAAGCTAAGCTAGTCTTTGGATACTGATAAAAAGTAATACTGTAGATTTATTCAGAAAGTTAAAAATTATAAAGCTAAAATAGACAAGGTTCTATCTATCTCGATTTTAAACTGTTAGAAAAAGTATTCTCACATGTCATTCCACAGTGTCTTTTTCCCTCTTTGAACATTTAAAACAAAATCTTGGTAAATAATTTACAAGAGATCAAAGTGGATTAGAAGAAATTATTTCTCCTCTTTTCTATAATAATAATTTTAAAACTTCAATGGCACTCCTTTCCCTGGAGGCACAATAAGGCGTCTGTTTCAGCAGTGGGGTGCAACATATTGTGGCCCACCATCTGCTTCACAAAGCTACTCCAAGCCTCCTCTGCCTGTTCCACTGAAAGGTTTGGAAACAGGTGGTTACTGCTGGGTAGCAGTTTCTGCGCCAACCATCCCAGTGAAGAGGATCACCCCCTGAAGCACGTATGGCCCCTCAGGTACGGGCAACCCCTAGAGGCAGCAGGGGTAATTAAAACAAACAAACAAATACTTTAAGATAATTATTTTTTAAAGTTCTACCCTAAACTGTTGGTACCTTTGAATCTCAACTGTTGACTTCAAATGCGTTTGGGCTCTTCTGATTGGTTAAGAATGTGATGATGGAGCGTGCTCAATAAATAAATAAATAGTACACCTATATTCAACGTATTAGCATGTTTGGGTGAGGAACTAAACTAAACCCCCAATTTTTCAGGAATGGGTGAAATATCCAGCTGCACTGGGCAGAGGAGCCCACAAGTGACACCCCTAAAAAGTCACCAATTCAGCGCTTCTTCGGGACCTTTGATTTTCAGAAACTTAAAGAGGATGAAGAGAGACACGCTCCGTCTGCTACAAATGACATTGCAGTGTGACACTTTCTAACTTGCAGCAAAAGAAAAGAAAGAAAATGCCAGCTCAGCTAGATTTCACAATAAACTTTGAAGAGAAAAAAATGTCCAACCCTCACACTACATAGCCATAAAAGAGACATCAGTTTCTCACTTTCCCTTAATGCTACCTAGTCTAAGTGGATGGCCTAGAAACAGCCCAAAAGACCCAGTCCCAACCGTGTGCTCTACCTCGGTGACTGGGCTCCCTTCTCATCATCCGAGCTTCTGTCCACACCCAATGTGTCTTCCGTCGTCGCAACAGCAGCAGATGCTGCTGGCTCTTCCTTCTTACTGTCTGGCTTGCATTTCTTCCTCCGGCGTTTCTTCTTTTTCACAGAACCCGGTGTGAAAACAGACTCCGGCGCCAACGTGTGTGAGATGTCAGGACTCTGAGGCAATCTTTCATTTCCACCAGACTCCATCAAAAGGGGGTCAACGTCCTTAAAGAACTGATCATCAGTTGGAATTGGCGAGGTGGCGAGGTAAGCAGGAAGTTTTTCCTTCAAGAGGACAAGGAAAAAGAAAAAATAACAATGACAAACTGAACAGTGAAGTATACACTAATTACTTCTTTTGAGTTGGTTTCAGAGTGGTAGAAAAATACATTTTCCCTAAAGCTAAGTTAAGACACGTAACTAAGCCAGTGCACGCCCTATACCATGGGTCCTCAAACTTTTTAAACAGGGGGCCAGTTCACTGTCCCTCGGACCGTTGGAGGGCCGGACTATAGTTTTAAAAAAAATAATGAACAAATTCCTATGCACACTGGACGAGTCGGCTGCTAAGCAGGACAGGCAGCTGCGGCAAAAACACCCGGTGGGCTGCATGTGGCTTGTGGGTCGTAGTTTGAGGACCCCTGCCCCACACAGATTAGGCTCATTTGCTGTTATGCTGAGTTCAGTTGTTAGCTCATTTTGTTACATGTAATTAAATAATTTTAGAGGAAATGATATATTAAGCATGAAACACAAAGAGCTGTAATTAAAGCAAAGTCAACTAAAATCTCTACAGAGAAAAGTTCAGCAGCCTTCAAAGGACTTCCCAGAAGGTACCAAGGAAAGTAAGACCAGGGTACACAGCTGAGGGCAAAGATGGAGAACACTGCACAGACAGAGGCGGGCAGGACCGGAAAGTGAAGTGAGGAGCCAGAGGAGAGTAGTTAATGGTTACGCTGAGTCAAATAAACACTCTGGTTCAAACAAAATTAATGAAGTTTTAAGTCATAAAGTAGTTTAAATATCCTCTTATGAATTAAATTAATGCTCAAATTTTAAAAATAATTAAACTCTTAATACGGAGTGTTCAGTAAATTAACTTCTTACTCATTTGCTTTGTCCCTTGTATATGGAGAACGTAGAAAGTAGTTAACAAAAGATATAAATCCACCTAATTTGACTACCAAAGAACCCACTGCCATTCAGTCAGTTCTTTTTCATAGTAACCCTACACGGGGCTTCTAAGGCTGCTGATCTTCATGGGAGCAGACAGCCTCAACGTTCTCCAAGGCAGCAGGTAATAATGGGTTTAAACTGCCAACCATGTAGTTAGGAGCCGGTTGCTCACCGGACAGCACTCTGTGGGGCCTGACTAGAGGCAGCGGAAGCCGTCTACTCTCATGGAGATTTAAAGTCTCGGAAACCCAAACAAGGGCAGAGTTCTACTTTTTCCTACAGGGTCGCTGCGAGTCGGAATTGACTCGAAGGCAGTGAGTTTGTGGTCTTGAAAAGCCACTTTGTTTCTGGTGATGGTTCCTATCTCTAGTCTGGGCTCCACTGCCAGTTTCTTCTGATTCGGAAGCTTATGACTGAGCAATGAGCTGTTCTTAAAGTAAACTTCTCGATGACCAATTATAACCCAATGCTCATTTCGAGGAATGGCGCTTGCCACTGGGACTGTGCGCCAGTAGATCACACACTTGGAAGTCAAAGGCTGACAAGATGGAAGTAAGAAAGCAGCGCCGTCTGAAAGCAGGAGGGTTACTTGCGAATTATCAAACAAAGTACTGAGCAGCCCCACTAAGAATCTATTTTATAGGAGAAAAATGTGTAAGAAAGCAGGGGACATAGGAGTTGTATGAATAAGGGTAGCTATTATAGTACTGTTTGCAACAGGAAAATGGGAAATAAGCCAGATGTTTAACAGCAAGAGAACTGTGCACTGCACTGTAGCTGCACTATGGAACACTGTAGAAGCTAAAAAAGAACTGGACTTAGAACTCCTGATCTGAAAAGGATGTTAAGGGTATATAGTGAAATGAGAAAGTTCAAGCGAAACAAACAAACAAAAGTGAATTAAAAGAAACTTTTTTTTGGGGGGGGGCATTATTTTAATCTCCTTCTAAATGGGGAGTTCCTGGAGAGTGGAGATTAAGACACCAATCCACTACCATTCGATTGATTCCTGTTGACTCCTATCAAAATCCAATCCCACTGCCCTAAGTCCACTGACTCCTGGTGACCATAGCTAGGGTTTCGGAGGCTGGGAACACTTACTGCAGCAGCAGCTTCCTGCTTCTCCTGCTGCGAGGTTAGTGGTTTTCAGTCACTGGCCGACTTTCCCAGCTCACAGCAACACTACGGATAAGGTCTCCTTTCGGGTAGCAGACAGCACCATCTTTTTCTTAGAAGTGGGTTAACTGGCAACCTTGTGCTAACCAGCTGCTCATCTAACCCACGGTATCACCAATTCATGAAAGGAATTTTTTATTTAAAAAACAACAACTGGCTCATTTGCGAACAAAAGAGGGTGTCAGCTATCGAGTCTTTTTCGCCTACCAAACTGACTGTAATGGGATCATCAGAAGAAGCCACTGGGAACTAGGTAGGTAGCAAACTAGTAATAAGCCAATTCTCTCACTAACTTAATCTTTTGATCAATAATCAGTGTTATGGATTATGTGTGATTCCATGTGGTTTTCAAAAGAGCGTTTCATCCTGTGACAACTGTCAGTTATTGCACTTTGCTCCTGTCTGATGAGTGAGACTTGTTGAGGCCAAGCGAATATAAATAAGGTAATAAAGTATCATCAAGTATTATGAAAACTACTGGTCTAGTAAGGCATTCACTTCATAAATAACAGTTTAACACTGCTTTACCTATTAAGACCCAAGATGTCAGCATCTCTCTTAACTAAAAATATGAACAACACTAATCTCATTGTACTATGGCTTGACTTTGGTCATTTTTTTTTCCTTTGTGAATTTGGAATTTGTGAATTTGTAGTTCATCTTCAAAGGCAAAAAGAAAAAGGGGAAAAAATAGTCTTTATATATTTAGCAAGCTGAAGCTTTTAAATTCTGCCATCTGACATTATTTGTAGGAGACACAGATGCTATCTTCCAAGAATTAAAAAGAGGGTCTACGATAAATTCATCAAGATGATAATGTTTGCCACCATTCAAATGAGCAGATGCATAGGGTTTCTGAAAGGGCAGAAAAGTGGGAACAAATTGTGCTTTCCTGCATAAGAGAATACAAGCCAATTCATTTAAATCTCTTGAGATCATATAAAAATTAAATCATTTGACTATTCATGGTTAGGGAGGTATTCTCTAACCAAATAGTACACATACTTCCACGTTTAAAAGTAGGTCTGTCTGTCTCTCTCTCACAGAGACATACATATCCCCGAAGAGGTATGCTTTTATCTCCCAGATATAATGGAATATATTTAGCCAAGGTACAGCTTTCACAGACAGGAGATAAGAATGCACCTTACAGTCAGAGAAAACACGTGCCTTCCTTTACAAACAGAAATCGTAACAAAGGCTTTTGCTGCCTAGCTTGCAGCTGGCTGTTAAGAAAAGCTCCCCACCTCTCCTATTCCCTTCTCACAGATTAAAATTTCTACCTAAAACTAAAATTTGTCTAGCCAGCAACAATCATTCATAAAACTAAGCATGTAAACTGCAGGACATCGGCCTGTGCACATTCTGTAAAACGGGCCCATTTAACCTCAGCCATGAAGTCAATTCTGACCCCTAGCCACCCTGCGGGTTTTTGAGACGGAAACTCTTTACCAGAGTAGAAAGCTTCATGTTTCTCCTATTGGACATTGTTGGTGGTTTTGAACTGCTGACCGTAGGATAGTAGCCCAAATTGTAACCCACTAATGCCAACCAGAGCTCCTTAAATGGACCAACTAGAACTTACATATTCCTCTTCAGTTTCCTCCACAAAGAAAGCTTCTCCATTGTCACCTAATTTCATGTGAAGATCTACTGCATCACCATTGATTTCTATATCAATCTAGGGGGAGAGACGAAGTGTGGTTGAGCACAGAGAGTCTTTCGTTCAAGCTAAACAAACTATGCCCCGGCTTTTTATCGGGAATAAGGTGAAGGCTTACAGATATGATCACAGGTCTACATTCAATAATATACAAACATTTTATTTCAGCTCATCTACTGCATCCCTCAATGTATCATCACTTATTTTACTTCCTCCCTCTTTCCATTACTGTCTTTCCTAGCCCTCTGAACTTTGTCCTTGGGCAAATATTGTTCTTTTGAGCATTAGTGAGAGACTAATTCTGAGAAATAATGGATGGGGCGGGCAATTGCTTCAGTTCAGGCTTGTCCAAGCCAAACCAATTACTGTAGTCCCTCCACCCCCAGCTACAGTGACTGGTCTGAGATGGTAATGGGAAACAAATCTGACAAGCAGACCAAATGCAGGTGCTTCTGTAGGAAGCAGCTCTCTAGGCGCTTGGGCTGTTAAGTAAATGGGAAGCCCTGGTTATCACCTTGTATTAAAGGGAACCAAAATGTTTCCACAGCCTCTGCATCTATATTTAGATACATCCCTGGCCAAAGAAAACACTTTTTTTTTTTGGCTAAATAAAGCTAGTTCGAGATGCATTTTTATTATCGGTAATAAAGTCAGTCCTGCCTAATACATGGTTTTATTAATGTTGATACATAATGAAATCATTGCTTTTGTGTTAAATCAACAAAACCGAAATCCAATGCCAACCAGTTGATTCCAGAATCATGGAAACCCTATATAGGGATTCTAGGGCTTTGTAACTCTTTATGGGAGTAGAGAGCCTCCTTTTTTGCCCTTGGAGTAAATAGTATGTTGGAACCACTGTGCTTGTGGTTAGCAGTCAAATACTTACCTGACAGCGCCACTAGGGCTCCTCTATAGCAACAAAATTAATTTTTAAATCAAGTGTAGGCTGTTATGAAATATCCTGTATTAGTGATTTATCAAACACATTAATGACATTGGGAAAACCACACCTAACCAGTGGTTTTAAGGTGGCTACCAATTGAAGTCCACTCCATTGGTGTTGACACATTTGAAAATGTAGGTTCTTGGTTAAAAATCAATGAGTAGCTTTCTCCAAGCTAAACTAACCCCAGTATAAGACAAATAGTTGATACCAAAGGCCAGGTCTCAAGGTTGACATGGTTTCAGCTTTACTGCTGCCACATTGAAACGCTATGTTTTGGGAAATCAAACAGTCAAAAATCCTTCCAAACATGCCTTTTGGGTTTCTGGGATACTAATGGAGGGAATGGAAAATTTCCTTTTCTTGTGTCTCAGTGATAAAATGTGATTTTAAAGTCAGGGGTTTTATAAGACATATAACATATTAATTTGTGTAACTTTGTACTGAAATTATATTACGTTTCTAAACTGGAGGCAGAGAGCATGTGGAAAGAGCTATCTGCTTAGGCGCCATTTGCAGAAAGGGCTTATGCACAAGGGTTTTATATATCAGCCTGCAGTTTTCATTTTGAAGGGCCAGAAGACTTAGCCAATCTGTGTTTTTTTTTTTTAAAAAAAAGCCTTCTAGGCAGTTTTACAAAGGTCCTTAGAATTAACTCATGGGAAAACCCGGTGAAAAAAACCCAGTCTGCTGATCCTCTCAAAGAGATCTGGACTGAAAGGACTGTAAGTTACCAAAAAGAGGGGGGGAAAGGATTCCAAAGTGCTGTTAAAGGTAGACAACACTGTTTTGCAATGGAAAGTTACCATGTCAGTAAATTACAAGTGCTTTGGATTTCCAAAGGGTAGCTCTCTGGTTCGATACAGCTCTGAATGCAGGCCAGCCCCAGGCAGCTTGCCATCGGCCATGCAGCTATCCAGCTGAAAACAGATTTTGTAACACTTCCTGGAAATAAGATCATGTTGTATCTGGGGGAAAACCCATATAGCTTTCCTCTGTGCTTAAAGAAAGGGTTAAAATGGAGAGAAATGTCTATGTAAGGAATAAGGTCAGCTGTGTGAAACCACAAAAACTGAAGAGGGATGTTTTCAACGCATGCCTGTGGTTCCTCTTACACGTCAAATTCACAAACTTATTGTGTCTACGCCTCCTTTTCAGAAAAACAAAAACTCCGCGCCCCACTGTCCCACCGTCAATTGAAAATGTTTGTACTACACAGTCCTCATTCAGGATGATAAAAGGCTTCTGCAGCACCCCACACTGGTCCAACACCTCCCAAGGCAAGATACCACGCACTTTGGGAAAATACTAACTTGTACTTTGTGATCTCTGCTGGAGGTTTTGAGGGCTATCTCTCATTATCCTTCCAAATCTGGCAAAACCTCGCTCTGATATTTAGGCAGATACTGCAACGTAGCAATATTAAGGAAAATACTTCTATGAGCCTTCAATTTTTAAAACTATTAGTTCAGTTTTTGAACTTGCCCCGTAGTCTAAAGGGAAGAGTACACAAACTACGGAGACAGGAACCCGCGCATGCCCTTTCTGAATGCATCTTCCCCCAAACAAATGGATGCCAACCTGCCTATGGCCTATGGGCACGCATTTTAGACTCAGATTTGAGGACAAACCCTGGTCCCAGTAAAAAACATAGAATGACTTAAGACTTTACAGCTTTGGAAAAACAACGAGTAAATAGGATTTTAATTAATTAAATGTATTTTAATGTCATCTATTCCATTCACAATCAGCATGGAGAGGTTACCCTGAATCATTTACAATACTATATAAGGTAAAGAGACTTTTTAAATTCACCAAACTTCCCTCAAGAGTTGGCTGTTCTGTTTGGCTCTCCAGGTGCAACTTACAATAAGATTATTAAAACAATTCTCAGTCTCTACCCCTGGGGAGACTTCCTATAGCAGGGCTTGTGAATGTAGAAGGACTTTTGAAGCAAACACATAATGGCTGACTTCTCATACCGCCCTTGTTAACATCAAACAGGTTTCATAACCAGAAAGAAAAAGCCCTTGAGCACACACTGGCTTTTTACCAAGTGCAGACACTGTCTAACCTTCCCGCATCCCGAGGAGGCTGTGAGCCACTCACCACTTTCTCCTTGGATCGCAGGACCCCCAGCTTCCCGAAGCGAACATGGAAAGGGGAGCACTGATAGGTGCCATCCTGCTGCCGGACCACGATCACATCGATGCACCCGGACAGGGTGGCCTGGTTAATGCCCTTGTAGAGTTCCTTCACAGTGACAATCACCTGCCCAGCCAATTGTCCCACATAATTCATGGTTTGAGACTACAAAGACAAGGAGGAAAAGAGAAGGTGTTAATGTGCCGTTTGTGGATCTACAGACGACAACAGAGAAGTAACAGTAGTGACTGAAAATACACGGCACAGTTGTATTTCATAACACTATCAACCTGGCTCCTGTGGAGTCCATTCGTCTCAGAATACCACTAGTTTTACCCATTTCACACATGGCCAAGCCCAGACTGCCTCTCTTTGTATCTTGAGAGCATCAACAAACCCAGAGTGACACCTCTGCCCTCGTGTGGAAGACGACCTCAGCCTGGGCTATCTCATCCTTTGGCCACAGCGGCCAGAGCAGGGAAAATGAAAACCAACTCTAGTAGAAACTCGACATTCATCTTCCAACAGAAGTAACGCAAGACACGAGAACTAGGTTCTCTGCAGAACTCTCAGTCAAGATACTGTGATCCAGATACGTGCGAGGTTGTCTGGGTCTAATACATCCGTAATGTTATTTCTATGGAAACGCTTTCAAAGCTTCAACATAACCCACTGAAATAAACACTTGAGTGCCACGAGTTCAAGGCCCAGGGAAGGGTTTTCATTTTGTTCCCAGTTCTCAATTCATTATATTCCAATTCCATTAAATCACAATCACTAAGGATCCAAAAAGGTTCCTCCAGAAAGCTTCAAAGAATCAAGGGAGCCCATCTACCAGGCTAAAGGGATCATGGCTCCTCTGAGGAAATGCTTCCTGTTCTCTGTGAACCCTGACCTTTTGTTATTATCCGCTGACAGGACTGGGGAACCAGCATGTAGGTTTTAAAGGCTGTGGAGAAGTCTCCTTGACCCACCCACACCATGGTCAGCATTGGGTCCACTGGGTGCTTGATCTTCTGTAAAGTGGTTGCTGGTGTTGGCATTCGTGAAGGGAAAAGGTTAGTGCTAAGGACAGAAGTTAGAAACACATTACCTAAGAGACTCCAATAAAATGATTTAAAAAAAAAACACACACACACTACCACCTATGTGGCTGAAGCCACACCTGCCTTTCCTCCAGCCCTCCCTCCTGAACACCCATGACCCTGTCCTCTCTATCAGTGTCAGTTCCAGAGTGAGACAGAAACGAAACTATACAGATGTAATCTTCTCTGGAGATTCATCCAGGTTCATTCCCGACAATCCCTGGACAACACAATTTGTGTGTTCAACTACTATCGAAAGGTTGGAGGTTCAAGACGACCCAGAGGCATCGTGGGACCAATGACTGGCAATTTGCTCCCATAGAGAATTGCTGCTGTTGTGGTGCCCTCAAGGGCATCCCAGTAGTTTCCTAGACGGGGATCTCCACAGGAGAACGGTCAGGTTTTTCTCCCATGAGATGGCTAGTGGGTTTGAATCATGAGGAACAGCCCAGCGCTTCAAGCAAGCTCTGCAGAGTAGTTCTGGTCTGCAGTACAGGAGGCCGCGGGGGGTGGAATGGATTTGAGGGCAGTGGGCTTGACTTGGGTTTTGTTTTCCTAAGAATGCCAGTAGTTGAACCATTCACTCACGGGGAGGGATGACTGCATTGTTTTTAGTTTTCAGGCTATTAAAGCTGCTAGAGAAACATTCAAGTATAGATTTTGGAGCAAAAATAAGCTTTCATTTCACTGGGATACAATGCCCACAAGTGAGATGGCTGGGTTGCAAGGGACTTGCAGGTCTGGCTTCATAAGGCACTGTCAGATTATTTTCCAGAGTGCTGTTGCATTTTAAGGTTTGCCTGCACCCTCATCAGATTTTTATGGTATCGTTATTTTTTATTTTACTTATTCCAATACTTCACTGTATTTCAATTTGCATTTCTCTAACAGCTAATGATGTGGAACATCTTTTTTTGTGTTGATTTGCCATTTGAATATCTCATGAAGTTTTACTTAATAAAAAAAGTACTGCAATTTAGAGAAAAAGACGAGCATCCTTTGTTTCATATTTCTGGGGTCACATGTATTTTTATCTTGTTTGAATGCCACCACCTCAATAAAAACACCCAAAACAGAAGTTAAATAAAATTCAGTCCTGTGTAGATAATTACTTTCACACTCTTTATTAGGCTGCAAAAAGTCTGTAGAAAAATGGAATAGAAATATAACGGGATGTTTCCATAAACTGCTTTTTTTTGGTATTTCTTGCAACCTCGGATAGTATCAGAATTTTCATATTTTTTAAGTATTATATATTCATGTCACTGTAATTGCACTAAGAAAATAGCACCCAAGTCACCAATCTTTGTATTATTACTTGTCTGAGGCCTTTCCTTAAGAGAAACTGAGCATTAATTTTACGCAATTGCATTTAGCCATAAACACCAGCCTTATGAACATAAATGTGTAATAAGCTTACACCAACCAACTACAGCCCACAATGCATAATTAACGTGGAGCTTTGGTGGATTGATGGTTAAAACATTCAGCTACTAACTGAAGTCGGCCATTCAAATCCACCAGGTACTCCAAGGGAAAGAGATGTGGCAACCGGTTTGTGTCAACAGTTAGTCATGGAAACTCCATGAGGCAGTTCTACTCTGGCAGAACTGGTCGCTGTGAGTCGGAATTGACTTGATGGTCGTGAATCTGCTTACTATTTATATTCAAGACTTCAGGTGCCATGGTTAAGGCATGTGCTGTTATACAAGAACTCATGTGTAAATGCCAGCTGCTAAGCAGAGAGGAAGGAATGGCTTTCTTTGAACAGATATAAAGGACAACCTGGTGCCTTAAAGGTGCACTCTAGTTGCTGCTGTCAGGCAGATGCTGACTCACAGAGAGCTACCGGACGGAGAACTGTCCCACAGGGTTTCTTAGGCTGTAATCTTGGAGAGTAGATGGCCGAGGCATTTCTCCCGTCAAGCAGGTGCTAAGTTCTGAGTACTTAACTCGTACACCATCAGGGCTCACTACACTTGTTCCAGGCTCTGGTAATGATGAGCAGCACCTCTGCTAGGAGGGTGGCCCTGAGGCTAGAGCAAGCCTAGACAGAGGAAGGGGTTCTCATGCCTGTGCCTTGGAGGGAAGCGTGGATCATCCATTGCAAGACACTTAAAACAGCGTCCTCTCTAAGCAGAACAAAAAGCTTTTGAAATAAAAGAAAGATTTCAAAATAGAGGGATAATATGCATTGCAAACTATGCATATTTTCTAGGTAATGAAAAAAGGTGAGCGCAAGGGGAAAATGAAATTGAGAGGCAAGCAACAGGGGGCAGAAAAAAGAGATGAAGGTTGAATGACAGTGTCTTTACAGAATAATCCGGAAAGCAGACTCAGAAATATGCCCCGACCAAGGGAAAAGCGGCACTGCTGTCTTTCCATAGAGTAACGCCCTTCTCTTGAGGTGTACAAACATTCCAGGCACTGCTGTTTCTATACTGAAATATAACTTAGATCTGGAAAGATTAAGTATCTTTTAACCTCACATGCTATACTGTTTTTCAGTTATGGGATACTGCCGGTTGTCAGACGGCCACTATTTCACCAAGAAGCCGACAGTAGTTTCAGACAGCTCTGGACACTATCCCCAGTGGTCACATGGGACTCTAGCACACTCTTCTTACAAGTGATGCTACCGCTACTGCACACACAGATGAACTACTGTGCATCTACAGTGAGGACTCATCATGTTCTGGGCTGATCATTCTCATTCCTTAAAGTGACTTTGGTTTATTTCACTTCTATGATAAACTCGAGAGTTTTCTGTCTTTCTTTAAATGAGCCATCTAAAACCAAACACAATGGCCTGCGTGTGAACTGACTGATGACACTACAGTGATGTTTTTGTCTATTCCTGCCCCACCAGTTGGATCAAATAGAATTTTGTAGAGAAAGACGGGTGGGTCCTTATTGTTCACCAACCTAAACATTGAACGGGAGACAAAGTAACTAAATTATGAGAGACCAAACAGTCCCTCACACATATAATTCAAAAGGCCAAATAGCTCTTCATACATGAAATCTAAGTGTCCACATTCAGGGTTTTCCTATTAATGTAGACAAGGGCATAGAGTAGCATATGGAAAAAATAGGCAGCTTGTAAGATCCAATTATTTAGCAAAGAAAGTCTTAGCATCCTTCCTTGACCTTGGAAGAAACTAAATCATCATGAGACATCGTAGGGATTTAAACATGGAATGCATCAATATGTGGATCCCCAAACAGATCCTCTGGCTACAAAAACTGCCCATACTTATTTTAAGATTATGTGTTTAATTAAAAACAAAAACACTTCTGAAAATGAAGAGCAAGAGAGATAAGGAGCATTATAACTGCAATATTAATACTGCTATTCAATCATGATAGTTACTTAAAACGTTATTGTCAATACAAAACCAGATACATACTAGATCACTCAACAATCATCAATCAACATTTGTTTCCTAAGTGATAAAAGCTTACCTTCATTCAGCTAAAGAATATGGGTGGTACAGTGGCCTAAGAGAAGGGCCGCTAGTCAGGGTGCAAGACCAAACACAACTTTCCTCTAGTTCGGTATTCTCAATCTTCCTCATGCCGCAACCCTTTAATACCGTTCCTCATGGTGTGGTGACCCCCAACCATAAAATTAGTTTCGTTGCTACTTCATAACGTAATTTTGCTGTTATAAATTGGGTGACCCCTGTAAAAGGACTGTTCGACCCTCAAAGGGGTCATGACACACAGGTTAAGAACCTCTACTCTAGCATATTTTCTTCCTGTTACATATGTGTATGATGTGGCCTGCATCTGAGATTATATGTCTATTGGAGAGTATATTACCTCTCTCTGGTTCCAGTCTCCTTGGGAGAGGTGAACCCTTACATGCCTTGTCTGATGATTCATTAATTTACCCTTCAATTACACAATCACCCTTTAGGACCTATGCGGTTGTGGAGGCTGGTCCCCCACAGGGCTGCCTTTATTTTTCCAGGCCTCACCAGTTTTCCATCTTGGACAGGGTAGCCTTACCACTTCCCTATTGTCTCTTTAGTAAAAAAATAAGACTTAAGTTTCCCTTCTCTGGCAGGTTTCTGA